CTCTCCGAGTGCCACGCCTCCGGATATGGGAATCATGAGCTTACGGTTTAGTTGTTGATATGGTTTGGAAAAGCCATTTTTTTTACAGTAGTGCAAGGGGAGTCACGTACGAAAAGGATGACTAGTGGTGAGCAAACTCTAGATGTACGTACGCGTATGTCTGTGAGTGTGTGTGTGTGTGTGCGTCTATATATATATATATATATATATATTATATATATATACATATGTGTGTGTGCGTGCTTGCTTGTGTATGTACCCATGTAAGTAAGCAAGCATGCCTGTACACATCCAGTCTATAATCTATGTATGTATGTATGTATGTATGTAAGCACGTATGTATGGAATGTAATGTATGCAACGTCTGCAATGTTGAAGTGTCTGTAAAGTATGTAATGTGCGATGTTGATATGATGATGCGATGTAAGTTAACGAAATGTAGTGTTCACTGATATTCATATCCATATTCATCAAGACAGATACATGGCACGCGAACAGAGCGAACCTAGCATGAATATGTGTATAGTGTTTATCGGTCCATCTGCTGCACACGCATCTCTGTCTCTCTCTCTCTCTCTCTTTTCTCTCGCTCTCTCCCTCTCTCTTTGCTTTGCTCGGGGTTTATAGGGCGTGGGCAGACCTCACAGTTCACACGCCCGCACAACACCATTTACCATTTTGGCGGAGTGCCCGAACGAATTTATTGCGGGTGCCCTCTCGCTTCCTCTCTCGCTCCGTCTCTGTGAGTAACATCCTTTGAAGTATGTACATGAAGGCTGATGTAAGTGTGCAAGCAGGCTTCCTGACTCACTGAATGAGCCAAGCTGGGTACTGACATCGGCTCCTGGAGACCGCAAGCTACCGACAGGCCGAGGGGCGCATCTGAGCATCCAGGTCGGCCATGGAAGATCCCGTCCTGCAAACAAGATGGTATAGGTACAGTACGAAGGTACAGACTTGTGTACTTGCATGCCGACATCCACCTGCGTGCATGCAGCATGTGATTGCATGCGCGCAGCTCTGCCGACATGAACGTGCGCACCTTGTTATCATATAATGTGCAACCGTTTCAACATAGGGTCCCGTGAACAGTCCCAAAATTTCTCTTTCAATCTTGTAAGCTTAGTTTTCGAATTTCCTTGGCTGACACATTAAACGATGAGCACCTGGTGTAAAGTGTGCTGCTTTCCAGCCAGCAATTGACTCGGACTCTCTTCTCCATCCTCTCGTGTCTAATTTCAACAGTGATGTCACAAACTGAAGAAATGCCAATTGCAGGGAAATGCAAATACAGCGACGCATCTGCTGCCTGAGAAGTACCATGAAACAGAAACACAAAAGGATAGCATGGTATAGTATAGTATCGTGTTGTTTCGTATCCAAACCCTATCGCCCCACAAGCCCTAGTGCCGTAAACAAAGCCAATCCCCGCAACGGGATCGAGTTGCGGGCTGAACTAGCCTTGTTTTCAGCTCGGCAAGACCGTGTCGGTCAATGGCGGCTGGCGAATCCGGTCCTACTGCTCGCTGCCGGGACGGTCACACCAGTCCAATCTCGAAAGCAGGCTTGGGGATCTTCCGGGGGCTTTGGGTTTCGGGTTTAAGGGATTAAGGCTGGGGGGGTCGTGGGGCCAAGACATGAAGAGCTTTGCGCTTCCTCGCCGGGGAGGGGAGTCTAAAGCTGCATAGGGGATTGGGTCGCTAATTTTCTGAATCTCCCGCTGCCATAATGATATTCCCGGTTTTTGATCTAATTGGGATTTGTGATGGTCCCCTTGTTTACGGCGACCGGCCTCGGGTGACTTCCACAGCCATAGCAGGCCCCCGAAGAGCCCCCAGCCCAGACCATAAACCCCAAATGCAAGAAGAAGAAGAAGAAGGCTGATAGCAATATTAAATAACGGTGATGATAATTTCAATACCTACTAGTAATACGGATGAAAACCTTATTTGTAATGCAATACTGAAACTAATACTAGTACGTATTAATACTAATACGAATAATTTCTACCAGTGAGAATAAGAAAAGGAATCCTAAAGCACAGTGAAGGTCGCCTCGATCCATTTGGCCCTGCTAAACAACCTTACATCAGGGCCACCTAATTAGCCGCCGGAGGTACGGGTTTTCTTGCGAAGGATTACAGTCCTGCGTGTTTTGGGCTGCTCCCAGAGTGACAAGGACAAGGGGACATGGGGCATGATACTGCAATTGGAGCGTGGTGAGCGGTGGAGGAGCGTCTATAAGCACACTGCCGGTGCAGTTTTGCACGGGCATTCCCGTTTGGGAGCTGAAGCCTTATGGCACATGCTGCGGAAACCCGAGCAATCTTCCCAAAGCCAGGCACTGAGAAAACGAAATTGGAAGTGTTGTGTTTGAGGGGGCGAACGTGGGGAATCAGATAGCACGGGACGGATGGGGGCTCCGGCGTCACTTCGTTTGTGCTTCGTTTGGCTCAGGAAGCCAGCTGGGACGGGACTCAGAGCAACCAGAACCTCCACCTCTACATATGTTTCCTCTTAGCCCTAAACCCTATCCCTATCTCGACACAGACTGCAAACTTCAGGACTAGCAGAGGTTCTGGTGTCCAAACTCGGTTCGAAGGGAGCAGCGGAAGTGGCTGATCTCCCTGTCGCACCAGGATCCCTAAAACCTTCATGAGATTTAGGGCATAAGGGTATTAACCCTGAGCCCAACAGCATGATTGAAATGGCCCTGCGGGCACAGATGAACTTCGGCTTGGCTTATGGCTGCCAGCTCAGGACATGGGGTCCATAAAGGTCCCGGCCGCCCGTGGTCCCCCGGGCTGGTTACAGGCTCGTGTTGCAGAGTTGGGTTTGATGAGAGATCTTGCCGAGTTCACCTCGATGATTAGTGGCGTGGGTACTGGCATCGACGAGCATAATTGTCAACCCCATCGTTATCATCATCCTGATCCACGTTTTCGTTGTCATCACCGTCAGCATTTTCATTTTCACCATCATCATCAGCATCGTTTCGTCGTCGCCGTCATGATCTTCATCACGGGTACGGTCATCACTACAGTCGTCATCTCGGTCATCTTCATCATCAACATCGTCAGCATCGCTTCATCATCAACATCTCTTCTTGGCTTCTTCGTGGTGGCGATGCTGACGACGACACCCCAGCCGACATGTCTATGATGTAACGACATTCCCTAAACCCCGATGACTGCAGCGTCGATAGAACGGTTCTGCGTCAGTACGATGCTACCCCAGCACCCTCATCATCACCATCACCCTCCACCCTCGACTTCATCGTTATCCTCGCCACTGTCAGACACCGTCATGGCCCGTCATCATCATCATCATCATCATGATCATGACCATCCGAACCACGAACATCACAAGCCCCGTCGTCATCGCTGTCACTAACATCTCAACTGTCGTGGTCTTCGTAACAGTCAACAGTCAACATCTCTGTCCTCCAATTTTGCAAAGCCGAGCAAACCACAGTGATGCGGTGCTTGCGCCGGTTTCGACAGCGCTATGGAACGTAGCATCATAATCTGTATCAGGACCATTGCAAGGACAGAAGCAGTGCTTTGAAGAGTCGTTCTCTCCGCAACTGTACTCCTAGCGCGGGAAACCCTAAACCCTAAGCCGTTCCTAAACCCTAAACCCCGAAACCGCTACGGAACAGTTCAATGAGAAACTCTCAGTACCAAAAACCGTTTAAGCCCCTTCGAGCAAGGGGGCAGCCCGGGGGGACTCTCTTGGCTGCGGTACCCATTGCTGATGGGAAGGCTTGTTCCAAGTTAGGGCTCCCTGTGACGGTGTAGGGCCGTAGGACTTAGGGTTTGCGAACATAGCGGGTCAGTAGTTGTACGTGGGAGCCCCGAGTTTGGAACAGCTCCCTGCATGATAGATGCTTTTGAGAGAGGGCCATGCTTTGTGATCTGCTCACTAGGCAGGAAATCTTACCAGATTTCGCCTGTCATCCCTTTGAAGTTCAGTGGTATCGGCATCATCATGATCCGATATCACAGCAGTTCCCTGTGAAGTACTTATGGACGGTACCGAACATCTGCAAGTTGTATGAGCTAACGACCGCGGATTATGAGGCAGTATCAACATCTGATCTTTGCACACGAGATACGTCATGGTCGCCACTAGCCCTTCTCAGGCAAGTCCCTGAGGCAGTTGCGACAAATCGCCCGACACCAGGCCGTAGGCTCTACAACCTCGAACAGATTTACGATAGAGAATGGCCCACTCTGAATTCGGAGGCCGGGCACAGAATTCTTGCAAAAGGCGGACGGTCAGGGAGAGCAATTGCCAGGACTATTTCCAGCCCCCTACCTTGTCGAAGCAAAGATCTCATCGTCCTCTAAAACTCGAAACTTAGACCAAAGCTTCAAAGGGATCCTTTTTAAGGGTTCTATAAAGGGTTTAGGGTTTAGGGTTTGGGAAGCCCCGAAGATGGCGAACTGGTTGGCAAAGAAGTCGTGGCAGCACTCGGCAAAGATGTAATTGCTTTAGGGTAGGGGGGTTCGAGCGGAACCTCAAGGTTGCAGTCCTTCCTCACGTCGTCCACGTTCTCTAACTTGTGGGAAGAGTAATTATTCATAGGGACAGGGGAAGCGGGGTGAGGGTTTGCAGACAAGGGCTCAGACATCTTGCCGTATCTTGCGGTTTCAGACATTCTGTGGCATTAATTACTAGCCTTCGCCCTTTGAATGCTTGCGCTCGTACTAGTAACGAGGCGATAAGAGGTGGGGAACATACCATAAACACTAAACCCCCATCCCCGAAGCCTAAACATCCCTGAACCCTGATGCCGGTATTCCTTCAGTGGCTGGTCTCTGTAGTAGGCCGTCTTTCTTGAAGCTGCACTTATTTTTTTTGAACCCTCTCCCTTGAGGTTATCATTTAGGGCTTAGCATTTGGGGTTCTCCGGCTTCCTTTCCCTTTCGCTTCTTCACGGCCCTTCTCAGGGTGTCGACTTCCCGCGGGGGGGGGGGGCTTAGGAGTCCCAGCTCGCTATGGCCGCCCAGGCTTCTGCTTGGGCATGGGTGCGACGTTGAGGTACCACTTGGCGAACCTTAGCCACTCTGTGCTGCCCTAGTAAAACCCATCATGTTCGTTGTTGCTATCAAAGTGATTTTTCGCGGGCATGGGAGCACTTGTCATTCTTGAGGTTATCAGGGTCATTTGTTCGTCTTACCCTACAGCCTGAAATCGCCTGAGGCAATAAGAGCAGTATTGCAGCTGAATTGGGAAATACGTTGCTGCCCATGGGAGGAGCTCTGCCGATGTCGCTTGACTATTTTGGGAAAAAGCCGCTGTAGGAAACTGTAGGAACTTCAGGATAGTGCGCCACGGGTTCTCTTGAAGAGATTCATGCAGCAAAGCTTTTCTGTGATCCTGGCCCCCTCATGCTACATCCGAGCCCCGTGGAACCTTTGCTGGTCGCTTAATGCGGCGTAATGCGAAGCTAATATCGAGACCTTAACAATAGAACAGGGTTTTGGGGCCCTTTGTAGCATACTTACAATAAGGAATCCCCAAAATAGTCTGGTAATTATTTAGGCTAACCCTAAACCCGCAGCCCGAACCTCTGGAGAAGCCCAATGCAAGCTCAAACAGGCGCCCAGCTCCATGAGATCGATACTGCCAGAAAAGTCCTCATCCACCTTTCAGAACAAAAAACAAGCCACGGTTTAGGGTTTAGGGTTCTGCCTTCAGTTTTCGAAGTTTCATGTACTGACTGGCTTGTAGGCTTACAGGGCTTCTTCTAAGCCATGTCTCAGCGAGATCACAAGCTGAGGCGATACCGGCAACCCCGCACTGCTGGGCAGTCTAGTCACCAGTCTCCTTGGGATGGTGGCTTAACGTACGCGTCACATTCGAAGCTGGCCTCTTGCCAGAGGATTCGAAACTTCGTCTCGTTGACCTGCAGATGTCGTGGCAATCTTGGCGCGTCCCTTTTCTGCAGACCTCACATCGCCCAAAGCTCCGGCGCCTGTGACACATCGATGCCCTCAAGTTGGCAGTATACCTGCTGGAACTCGTAATGGTCCAAGGCGCCGCTCCTCAGGCCAAAAGCTTATAAGTGGTGTCAGGGTCCGATATGGGAGGTTGTCAAAATTGGGTCCCTTTTTGCGTACCCCAAATGACAGGTGCCGTATGATAATAGGGGCCCAAAAGGGACCATGATTTTGACAACCACCCATTTTGCTCTCAGGGCCACGCACGACTGAGTGTCAAGAGTCGGTTGACGACATGAGATTGATGTACATCTGTTTCGTTTGTCCGAGCTCGGGCCCCATGGCTATCCTAGAGGCAAGAGAAGGTGCAGTCTTCCTGGACCCCTGTATGGCTGCATGCCACAAGTCCAGGAGCTATATGCTGCAGTGGCCTTGGTAGCCAGAATCTGCGTTTGGGGCATACCATATCTATGTAGCGACTCCTGTCGTGCAAACTGCAGCACTCAGGTTGTTACAGACCTCTTTCGCAGGACCCTCCAAGACATAGCAATATCTAATATGGATCTTGTGGCAAGTGGGGTGCGATCGTGTTACCTTTCTGCAAACACAAAGGTAAGGGCAAGGCAGCATTCTGGCAATTTCACTTGCGTTGATGCCGCGAAGCGGCAAGCTAAAGCAGCTCAAGTGTCATTGCATCCACACTTCTTCCTCTCACTGCACTTGTGACAAGTCGTTACTTTCGGACTCGTGTGCTCTGGACAACGTCTGGTGCGGCGCTGATCTCCCCTGGGTGAGCTCCCGGATCCCCCAGACCGTGCCGCGCGCGAAGCGCGGAACTGCCGATTATTTTAGCATCCAGCCCTTGGAATCCACGCTTCACTGCTGGCCATCCAAGGCTCCCGTCTTTGTCTGCCTTGTCGAAAGCAGCCTTCACCCTCTCGACCTCAGGAAAAGCGGCATCCGGAACAAGGCCGAGACATGTCGGTAAACGAAACAACCGCAGACCCACCCCAACCGCTGGGCTGCAGGCTTCCGTGATCTTGAAACCCTGCTTTTTGCAGAATTTGCGAAGGTTTCGCTCCTGAGGAAAGGATAGCGGAAACACCATGCCCTTCTCTCTAAGTACCCGTCGTACAATCATCATCTACCTCTCAGAATGACTACTACACAGCTCATACTATCCAAGTACCTACTTGTTGTTCACTTCGGAGACGGTAGGAAAGATGCACGGAGACCGGGACGGTGACGATGTGGTAATCTCTTCTTGTCTTCAGCCGGTTTGTCGGTGCAGTAGTACACCCTAAACCCCGAAAGATGCTCCAGCCCCAAGCCTTGTCATTCTTCATCGCCACAGGGCATACGCACACAGATCACATCAGCCCATACCATTACACCCTAAGCCCCAAAACCTTCTCCTCACCCTCATCACGCGGATCATCATCATCGTCAGCATCGGCATCTTCGTCATCGTAGCAGTGTGTGGCGTGCCTGAGGATCGGGTACCATGATCTCTTCGCTCCACTGCTTGTTGTTGTACCTCGCGGCCGATGCCGACTTTTTCAGCGGCGCTGGGTTTAGGGTTTTTAGGGACTGATGGGTTTAAGCTTACCTTGTTCAAGGGCTGCAAGCGCCTCTGAGGTCGGGGCGGTAGGGGTATTCACGTTTCGTACTATTTATATTGGGCCATGGTTCATGTTAAAGTCCCTTTAGACCCTGCCGTACCAGAGTCGAAACGACTGTAAGCAGAAGTCTCGTGCCGAAGCTCAGAACACCGAGCCCTCTGCCAACTGACAAAGTCCTCCTCGGTGAGCTCAACGTCCTTTGCAAGTGGGACTTTCCGAAAATTAGGGGTACCTTATTTGGGGGGTCCTTATAATACGGGTCCTACTATTTAGGGTAGTGTATCAGGGGTCAAATATTTTCGGAAACTCCCAAGTCTGGATGAACCAGTTGCACCTTTGGGGGCGGCGTGTAGGGATTTAGGGCTTCAGGGTGTTAGGATCCCGATAGTAAAACCACAAACGTGCACTCCCCAATGCGTCAACATAAACCCTGACTCAGATGAACTAGGTGCGGGGATGCGTGGGGCGGTGCCGGTACTGGTGCATGCGCTGTGATGCAACAAGGAGGGTGTAGGAGTGATGTAGCGGTAGCAGAAAACCATTAACATTATTACTATGAGTTTAACTATTATTTTAATTACCATTATTATTATTGTTGCTAGTACTACTACTATCATTATTGCTGTGACCGGGGAAGTCCTCGAAGTCTTTCGGCCAGTCGGATTCCAAGAGATGTCCCGGCACGTTTTTCTCCGGATCCAAGCCACAGTGCTGGCCTTGGCTCATGGGTAGATTAAAGGGTTCCTCTAAGGGTCCCTTTAAAGAGATCTATAGGGATTTTAGAAGGGTATAGGCAGTATAGGGTTTGTTTAGGGTCTACTTGGAGGTTCATGGGCAGTTATAAGTCCCCTAATATGGGTTATACTTATATTTACCCTACTTATATCCCCACTTATAGCTACCCATGGACCTCCAAGCAGGGCACGGTGAGACGCCGGCGTACTGTTCTAAGTCTATAGAGTTTTTGTATCGGGTCGAAAGATTGACGAGGGGATCAACGTCAACATGCCTCGGTGAAGACCAGCAGTACATACCATGGCATCCTCCTTCCCTTTCCCCAGAGCCCAAGAGACTCTGCTCCAAGAGAATTTGCTGGTGCACTGGCACGATAGTCGCGCAGTGGTCCCAAACCGAAGACGACTACCAAATCCACACTGCCACTTTATCCTTCCAGAATGATCCTGAAAATGTCCTGCCCTCATGACGAAAAAGCTTGGCGTTCACTCCACCAGTGGGCTGTGACAGACCGAATGGTTAGAAGTCAACAACTCGATTCTCGATCAACTGCTCGGGAATCCACTCTCCACAAAGGGAAATGGTTCTTCAAGGCCATCCCCCCAAAAAATGCTGGAATGAAGGACTCCGATGCCCATGGAGTGGTGATTCGCTGTGATAATGGCGCAGTCGATGCGCAGTGTTGTACGTGCAGCCACGGCAACGGCGATTTCGTGGTGGCAGACAGATTGTTTGCAAAGCCTACTAACTTACTATAGAAGTCTGAACCAGCAGCAATAGCTTGTTCCGGGGTAATCACTTCAATATACTTCAAAAGTTTCCTCGGTGCCCCATCCTACTAATTGCACAGATTCTACCCTCGCTGCCTGACCGGTCTTTCAGCCTAGTCGCAAAGCCAGGTGCGGAAGTGCTCCAAGGGCAACTTCTGACCCTCGCGCAGGGTTTAAAGTTTCGGGGTTAGGGCTACAGGCTATCATGGGTTCTAAACGGGTTGAAGTGAATCGAACGGTGATTTGAAGTGTTTGACAAGGTATCCTAGGGCTTCTTTGGCTTTAGGGTTTATGGATATCAGCCACGAACAAAGCCTAAGGCCCTTGGAGCTACTTTCGATTGTCAGGGAGGCCGAGTATGAATGGAATAACGATTACGACACCCTTGCATGTGCTCAGCAGAAACTCTGAATCCCGCAGCAAGATCGCGTTTTGTAGACCAGTTTGCAGCATCCCGGTTGCCAAACGATCTCGCTGTCGTGCAGCATCCGCTTGAACGGCGAGCAGTCAGTACAGAACTAACGAACAAGCTGACTCTGGAACAGCTCTGTCCCTCCAGAACCATCGCACCACTGGTTAGCTGATCCAAAACTCCCCGCCTTGACTTCGCCCAGCGCTAGTGCTTGGTTGAAGAGGCTCTGTATGCGCCGCACGTCCCCCAACTGGCGCATTTGGTGAAGTGGGACTCTTCTGATACAGCCCTTAGGGTTTCAGAAAACAGGGTGTGCCGTATTCAGGGGTCCTCAAGAGAACAGTCCGAGTGCTTAAGGTCTGTATCGAGGTTCTTTTTTGTGACACCGTCCCGTACGTGTTCGAATGTGTTCGAGTCGCCGGGCACTTCGCTTCATGGCAGTGCTCTTCAGATCCTTGCGTCATTCTGCACATGAAGGCGGATGACTTCATCGCCTTCGGCAAAAACGTGTCCGTTGTTTCTCTCCTTGCTGTTTGTGGCTTTCTCTTCTCTCTCAGGGTCTTCCAATCCCCTCCCCCCCCCATTCGCTCCCTCGCAGCCCCGCCGTTCTGAGTTCTCCATCGCATCGACTCCGAAAGCAGAGCATTCTCTTCCCCACTACCATGCTCATGAACCCAAGCCCTCCTCCTACTACCCGAGTTATGACGCTTGCAATCCACTGTCAGGGTTGCATGGAGACCGGTCGTCTTTGCATGGCGCCGCGCACCTTGGCAAAGGATGCAGGCCTTCGTTTTTGGGAACGCATTTCCGTGAACGGTGACCAGCAGTTCAAAGCGCAGTGGTAGTGTGTCCGCGAGCCAGCGACAACTCAAAATGGAACACTGCCCCAGAACCCTAAACCCTGAATAAATCCTAAACTCTCCCCTTGACCCGAGACGCGGAGGACATGTGAGTGAAGCCACGACGAGAAGCCGAAAACACCCTACACTCCAAGGGTAAAAGGAGGAACCCTTCATAAGGACCCCTAGGTATATACATATAGCTATTACATACCCATTATGTAGCCCCATTATAGGGTAGGGGTCCCCATTAAGGGTCCCTCCTTTCCCCTTTTGATACACGCAAACCTCCACTCTCAATCCGTCTCTGTTGCAAGTCTTGGGCCCGGCACGCTGCTCTGGAGTCTCCTGCAGGATAAAGCGGGAGTTATTACATTTAGGGTTTAGGGCTTAGGATGCTGGGTTTAGGATAAGTACATGCTATTCCTGTTGCAATTAATACCAGTAGTACTTTTACTCGTGGGTAGTCTTTGACTGTAGTGGCCCTAAGCCCTAAGCCCAAATCGTGGCAGAATTCCCGCGACCCGCAGAAGAGAGGAGACGAAGTCATGGGCTTGAAAGGACCTAAACCCCTTCAGGGGTCAGGGGTTTAGGGTTTTGGTTTTAGGTTTTTTCTTTGTTTTAGACGACCCTTTTCCTCGATTTAGGGTTTAGGGTTTGGGGGAAAGCCTAAACCCCTTCTCTGCGCGAGCGTGCCTCCTCAACAACCTCCACGACCTTCCCCCTCGGCAGCAAGTCATGGATGTAGGGTGTAGTGATGTTTAGGGTGAAGGGTTTTGGGTTCAGGGTTTAAGTGACCAAGGTCGCCGGTTGCTTGTGGCTGTTCTGCTTCTCTCTCTCTCTCTCTCCCTCTCTGCTCTGCTCTGCGACTTACGACGTCGTACTTAGACTTGCTATTTGTGCAGTCACTGTGTTTTCTATTGCCATTCTTGCTTCTGCAAGTTCTATGTCCCCCTTTCGTAGCAAACCGCAGTCAGTTCGTCATATGCCTTGACGGCGTTACGAACGGAACCCTCGTCACCCGCAGCCTATCTACCAGCAATCTTTCGCTGTGCTTTCCTCGGGTATCGAGGCTAGCTGCTTGGAAACCCTTTTCTAAACCCTAAACCCAAGAGTTCATCCTCTTCCAACCTAGGCTGGCTACTTTTCCGCGACGTAACTCTGGTACCGCATCTCACCAATCAAGGAGTCGCGAGTCTGATCAGCAAGTCTTTGAGGGTAGGAAGCAAGCGAGCTATTCTGCCTGCACGTGTAGGAACTGGGAAGGTGCATGGGTAACCCGTAGAGAGGCAAGCAGCTTCACAGCATGATTGATGCTGCCTTCCACAGCAAATGAGGGACCAAAAGAGCTCCCGATCCAAGCACTCTAAACCCTGAGCTCTGAGTTGTGGTCGATCTGCACTTACAGCCGATGCTTGAGCTCTGGAGTCTTTGTCGCGTGAGTTCGTTGAAAGTCTGAACTCTCCTGAGTATCCTGTCTTCGCTCATAGGAACTAATCAGTAGCCGAGCGGCCCCAAACCCGAAACCCTAAAACCGCAAACTCGAAGCCCTATACAAACCCCTGGTTCAATAACGAAGCCAAGACACTCGTTGGGATCCGGATTCTGAGTCCGCAGCCTGTCAAGGTATGCAGTCTCCACCCGTACATCTCTATAGTGTATAGTCTGTCATACATATATACATCTATGTATATCTAGAGGGTCCACAACTAAGTAGACTAGAATACAGTACTGTATGTAACAACATCATACAGTATAACATGATACAACATAATAGCATGTAACACAATAGAGCGTAATCTAATGGATTGTAAGGTAACAAGTCATGAAGCAAGTCATAAGTAAGATAAGTATATATGCATAAGAGTAGATACAAACAAACAGATGAATAACTATATATATATATATATATATATATATATATGTATACACACATAGCCACTGTGCCAGCAGAACTTGCGAGTGTCGCCCCGGCTTTAGCCTTTCCGGGGTCTTGCGGGTTCAGGGTTCTAGGATTTGGGGTTTATGGGGTTTTTAGGGCAGGGTAGTAGGGCATATAATTTAAGCCGATAGGGTTAGCATTTAGCGGCCAGGATGGAGGGTGTTGGGATTTCGATTGCAAGGGCTCGCGGCTTAAGATTTTACGAAAACGCTCAACTGGCTGCATGGATGGTTTGTAAAAGTCACACAGGGTAGCTGCTCTCAGTGTTTCTGGCTTTCGCAACTAAGGTTTTGTAAATCCTGCATGCTGGCTCAGGATGTCAGGTTTTCGGGCAAAGGCTGCAGGGTTTATGCGGGGTTTAAGGCTCTTGAATTTTTGAGGAATTTAGGCTTAGAGTAGATCGTTTCAATCTGTCGGGTTTCAACTTAAGTGGTCGGGCTCAAGGTTTCTCGCGCAAACTGTTCTTGCTCTTCCTGAAGTGGCCTATCATCATGTTCATAGAATCTATGCCGTGCCCCCTAGGTCCAGTCTGCAGTCTGTACAAACCTCCCTGCTGCTTCAGATTCGGGTGAACGAAACTCTCTCCCGAATGGTACAGTAGTTGTGGAGTACTATAACTAATACTGTGCGTGCAATGTGTGGACCCTGTAATGCAAACACTGCTGCTGCTCCTGATCCTGCCCCTGCTCTTCCTCCTGCTACACCTGCTGCTGCTGCTGCCAGTACTGTTGCTCAGCTACTCCTACTGCCTTACTACGATTACATCGGCGACCAGTACCACAACAGTCATTGTTACTTCTTGCCAGTCGTAGCCAAGTATGAGACTACACTGCTGCCAGCACTCCGTCGCCACTGAACAAACTGGTAACAGTGTCACGACAGCGACTGCAGTGACAATGGCCAGATAAAGCACAAGATTGAAGTGCACCAATCCTCGCCCCGTTTCAGGCTGTCTGGGCGGTCTGTATCGTAAGCTATTGAGGGTCTATGTTGGGGCCCTCCGAGGTTTAGGGTGCTCCCATATTCAAAGCTCCCGCGTCGACCGAGCCTGAAGGCTTGAAATGTCATCTGCCTTCCGGAGCCTGACCGAGCCTCGGATCGGCAGCGCAGGGACCACTGGCGGTTTAAGGCTTGGGGTATGCATTGCAGAGCACGAAAAAGAGTTGACAAACGTCAGAGATGACGCTGTGCTCGTCGTCAGTGAAAACTTGTCGTCCCAGAATCCTAAGATAGGCTGTGCACCTGCACACTACACTGAGTCAGCGGCGATTCCTCGCTGCTTGCTTCCCTTAGGGGCCGAACACTTGACCGAGGCTTGCGTCGGGGGACCCGCACTGGGACAACTTTCTGGGTCTTGCTATTAATACGGAAATCCTATTTACTATAGATCCTTGGTAACTTAAACTAAACTCCTTAACCAGATCCAGTTTATTGTAGATCGCACGCTCGAAGCTGCGCAGCTTCTCAACCTTGTGAAGGGGACTGCTCAAACTTTCTGCATGCCCGTATAATGATGACAGCAAACTCCAGCTGCAATGCAACGGCTAGTGACGTGTATGGTACTCATCGGCATTAACGTCCACACCACACATCACCTTCTACACCTACGCCTAGACCGACACCTACACCTGACACCTACACCTATTCCTCCTCCTCCTACTCCTGGTTCTGATCCGAGTGCTACCGCTGCTTCTTCTACTTCCTCTATACTTCTGCTGCCGCTATTTCTACTACTACTACTACTACTACTACCACCACCAGCACCAGCACCAGCACCAGCACCAGCACCAGCACCACCACATTACCACCACGAGGACGACGACATCTGCTGCTGTGCTACTGCTTCTGCTGATGACTACTGCTACTGCAACTGCTACCTCTCTGCTGCTTTTGCTGCTGCTACTACGACTACTCCTTGCTCCGGCTTCAGCTCCTGCTACACACCCGTGCGACGACGTCGCGCACTGACGCACCGACACCCTAGATTCACTTAAGCGCCATGATTGCTGCAAGTGCTTTCGACTGCCTTCTGCTTCGCTTCCTGACTCTGAAGTCTGAACCCTAAACCCTCATGTCATGCTCTTCAGCTCTCCTGTACAATAACACTCTGGGACTTTAGGACCAACCATTCAAAACCTCATGACAGTCTTCATCTTGGCAGCGTGCACGATGCATCGAATATTGGGATCTCCATTGCATTCTGGAGGGGGGGGGCAGGTATACTGCAATTTAGTCAAGTGTATAGGAGCAGTAAAGTTATTCAGGTAGCCCAGCAGACTCGATCAGAAGCAAGAGGGGCCTTGCTGGAGGCTTTGCTGACGGTCTTTACCATCCTGGCAGCAGCCAGACTTAAAGTCAAACTACCTTGGCAACCGTTGTGAATACAAGGATCCTAGTATTTATGGTACTATATGGGTCTACTATTTTCGGAAACTCCCAAAACGAAAGCTTTCCGATGAGACTCGGGTTTGCAAACAGAGTCGGGGGATTCGAATCGGCGATCCTTCTCTCATGTCGAGCTCTCATAACAGGGAATCGTGACCCTAGGCGAATGTGCCTGTGCATCATGCGGGTGGTTGTCAAAATTAGGGTCCCTTTTTGGGTCCCTATTAAAATACGGCACCTAATATTTAGGGTACCCAAAAGGGACCCTAACTTTGACAACCACCCATGTGGATGCAGACTTGCAAAGTATGAACAGTCTCGCGAGACGAAGTCTGTCATGCCATTTGCATGTTCGTTCTCTGGCAAGCAGACAAGCAGACTGGCTCCGCATGCAGGGGCCACAGCACATTCCTTAGCGAGTTTCTGCTGCAGAAACTGCTACAGCCTCCAGTTTCGAAGGGTGGCTGGAACACTACTTACGACATTGACGATGTGCTCAGGTGACACTTTTTCTTCGTTCATGATCGTGGGGCAAGCATCGCTGCTAAAGACCCTTGCCAGGTGCTGGTCCGGCAGGTACGGAGGCAAGCAATCAATCTGCAAGCGAACTAGTTTTTGTATTTGTATTAATATTAGTATTAGAAGAAGTATTATCAGTAGTATTAGTATTAGCGCGGCAATCTAAACCTGGCTCACTTCGTGCCATACAACGTAGAATCTAATCACGTAAAAGAACTTGATTCCGACGAAAAGGCCAGGGTTACCAGTTTCGACACTAGCTGGCGATCTGACGAGGTCGAGCGAAAGCTGTGCAACTGACTGTGTAGCATGAGGGCATCATGTAGCTTAACACGCTCTCATATACGAGCAAGATGCCTATCAGAACCAAGCTTAGCATTGGTTGAACCGCTTAAACCCTGAACCTCAAACCCCAAGACTCCAAACCGGGTTGGCTTGGCCTGTCTCCAGCATACTCCGACAAATCGCTCTCCGGTGATGGGTTGCGAGAAAAACTCCTTGGCTTGTCATGGGTTCAGCGATTCTTGGCAGTTCGAAGGGGCGTTCGGACTTTTCGCGGTTTAGGGGTTTAGGGCTCAGGGGTTGGCACTAGAAGCCACGGCAAATTACGTCGACCGGCTTCGAAGCGCGCTAGGAATACGAAGACGTCCTGTTAAAGCTTTGGTTTCTGTAATCATGCAAAACCGTCTGCTGATCTTTGGGACTTGAGAGTAGGGTAGGCAACAGCCTCGCCACACTTACTTATTCAGCCTCCGGAGCTCGAACTTTGACGTGAGTCCCGGGATTGAAAAACTCTTCCGAAGAGAGGTCAGCCCAACCAACCCTTCTGAGCCCTGAACAACACCGCGAATCACCCCTGGTGCCTTAAAGTAACCTTACTCGGAACCCTTAGTCAAACACGGGGCATCTCTAGACCCTTACAACCCTTAAAGGAACCGACAAAAAAGGGGAGCGCCGACTATAGGGGCCTTAAAAAATTTGAATAGGGGTTTTGCGGCCCATTAAGCATTATGCCATAATTGTAATAAGGAGGAGCCCTATAGGAGCATTGGTAATTACTTTAGGCCCCTGTAGTAAATCCTTATAATAGCCTTTATAGTAGCCCTCATAATGTCATAGACCCCTTTCAAAGGAACCCTCTTCTAATTATTATTCGGGCCCCCTTTTTCTTAAAGCGTGCAGGTGGCCCCGGGTCCAAGAGGTTGCCCACATCCGTCGGAGGAGCGCGCGACTGGCACGTCACAGAGAAATCGAAAAAGCAGGTTAGTTTATAGTTAATACCAATAGCAAAGAATGGGTTAGTTAGCGATTTCGAAAAACAACTAAGACCTTGTGAGACGAAGAAGAAAAACGACTCATGTCAGCAGTGGATCGTCTTCTTGCGATTGGGGGGCTGTAGGTTTGGGGGACGTTGCTTTGGGGTCTAGGTTCTGAAGATATTCTTAACCGTCGCAAGTGCTATGATGATGATCGCAACAGACGTGATAGCAGCAACACTAGGTCAACAAAGCTAAATAAGCTAAAATGGTCGAGCCAATGGGCTCGGTGGATCTGTCAGCTTGCTGTGGCTATGACAGCTTTTGCAATAGGGGCAGGTGCCTATGCGAGCTTTCATTATGATATCGTTGGAAAGTCTTGTGTCCGAGGCTTCGCGCAATTCGGTCCGATGGTGCATGCAATATCACGCCTTCATGGTCGGACTAAGGCTTCGGGGTATAGATCACTGAAGCTCCATAGGTGACTATAAGAGTCTGAGAGGATATTATAGGATATCCCTGCCAACAATTCGATCCCTATATTAGCTGGGCATGCAGTGATTCCAATCACCTCTGTGGCAAATCCATGGGGTCAGAAGGGCGGCGTTGCTTACGGAGGGCGGGCAACTCAAGTCACCAATGGTCTGAAGGTGCTTATATCCGGCAGTTGGGAGTTTCCGAAAATTAGGGGTACCTTATTTTGGGGTACTTATAATAACGATCCTACTATTTAAGGTACTATAGTAGGGTCCCCTATTTTCGAAAACTCCCAGTTGTACCTTAAGGCCGAAAACTCAAACTTCGCGAGAACAGGCCAAGTGCTGCATCTGAAGCCCCACACATGGGTGGTTGTCAAACTTAGGGTCCCTTTTGGGTCCTCATTATAATACGGCACCCCAAAACGGGGCCATAATTTTGACAACCACCCATATGTTCCACGAAAGGCTCCTGCAGTGCGGACAGCATCGACGGAAGTACCCTCGGCTTAACGATTTGACACCCCCTTATGCAGCGCACCGGCTCCGAAGCGAACTTGTCCCGCCGGAGGGGTTCTTGTCGGACAGGTCTCCTTGGGAAGAATCTACGTATTTATGGCGGTGGTGCAAACACTATCTCGCTGCTGACAACGCGTCTGATGCTGAGAGTGTGATAACGGTGATATTGACTGACGAGCATCGTGATTTTGATCCTGCTGCTATTTGGTACAGTCTACATAGCGTACCATGAGCCCCGGATGATCCTGGACATGCAGGATAAGACGGCTCCATCGACATGCAAGCCCCCCGAGCCCCAAATTCCAAACCCTTCAGCCCTCAACAGCCCTAGACCCTAAAACCCCTCAACCTCTGATGCCGCTCAGCTTCTGCGTCTGCGCATGCGGCTCCAGAACCTCCCGAGCCGCAGCGCGAGCAGAGAGCCTCAAGAGCTTGACCAAAGGACGGATTCGAGTCGGGATCCTTAAAAACCGGGGGGGGCCTGGTGCTTGGACAGGGAACTGATATCAACGGTCAGAATCTGGGTTTGATCGTTTCCGTGTTATGGAAAAAAGTGTACCATTGCTTAACACCACAAGCTCTAATCCTCAAAATGCCTTTGGCTTGATCTGAATGTTGTGGTGGAGGGAAGGGCAAAGAGCACGTTGCCAGCCGGTAGAATGAACAATGTGGCATTGATCTGAGACTGTCGACCCTGAGCATACTATGTAACACACTATGTGTGCATGTTCGGCGACATATGAGGCTGCTGGCCTGAATCCATCAAAAGAAAGTCAGTCCAACATCTGCATATGAGCCATCTAAACTCTATGGTGAGGATCATGTTGCGGTCAGTCAAGAGGGACCCTCATGACAGCAAAACTTGCTTTTGGCTTTCAGCTATTTCCAATGAGGATTTTCTTCTTGAGCTTGTCGTTGTAGCCGGTCATCACACGGCCATGACCTTTCCGCCCCTGCCGCTCCTCCTCATCCTCAATCAATACGTATCGTCTGCCGTGCGCCGGGACGGACCAATATCTAAGTCTGGACCTGGTGCCCCTCAGCCTGAACTAATTGCTTGAAGGCCACCCGAAACTGTGCTAACGAATCGGTACCAAAATTGGCAATTTTTGGGTAATCTCAGCTTTCATGTATTGTCGAGGCTGTTTTATGAGTCACCTGTTTCAGGTCTGATTTTCAGGATTTTCGAGCGCTAGGCTTCTTCCTCTGTCTTGCTCGAGAAGCTGCCATAGCGAGGATTGGACATGAGCACCAATGACTGATCAAATCAAAGGATTCAGCTGCATCCGAGCCCTGCAGCTGGAATCCCAAAGCCCTTAGCGAAAACTGCACCCAAACACGAAACAAGATTCGCCTACATCTAAAATACCCCAAGCCGGAAACTGAATCGTTCATACTTTTCAACCTCCCCAAGCGAAAACCTTCAACTCTACGCGTTTTGGAAATGCGGTCGAGTTTCGCTCCGGTTGTCTTCGCCTTCACCTGCGGCTTCGAACTCAAACCTGTTGTTTAAAGTTTCGGCCTAAACGCTAAACCCGGGGTGTATAGGGCTATTAAGGGATCAGGCAAACGGCTCCAGGGGAAGTTGTTCACTGGGTCCCCCTCTGCACCCAAAGTCGGTGACACCACAATCCACAACTCGAAACGCTAGAACATCGGCAGCAATAGTAGTAGTGGCGGTGGTGGCGGTGGTAGTAGTAGCAGTAGTAGTAGCAGCAGCAGAAGTAGTTGTAGGAGGAATAGGAGGAGGAATAGGAAGGGAGGAGGGGGAGGAGGACAGTAGCAAAAACGACGATAAGCATAATAGCAACAAGAACAGTCTTATGTAAGGCCCCCCAGATCATCGTATTCACCCCTCCCAGATCCCGGCCGTCTCCGGTGAAGGGCTCTTCTCTCGAGCCGTACGTGCAGGGGAATACTCCTGCCAACAGGACACACTGAAATGCTTCAAGGTTGAGGGTATGGGGGATCTATAAGGATTTATTGATTTAGGATTCAGGGTTCAGGGCTTGAGGTGGGTCTATTCACATCTCCCCAGATCGCTTCATGCTTCTTTCCGACTTTCATCAGGGGCAATTGATGCAAACATGTTGGATACCGACTGGTCTCGGGCAAAGTTGCATCCCAAACTCCAACCCTGTCCCCCCCAAGCAAGCTTCAGGTTGAAGCAAGAACTTCTGCCTGCAAACCCCCGCCATACCCCGAAGCCGACTACTGCAGGTAAGAGCACGGCAAAGCCCTATTCAAACCCGCAACTTATGTCTCTACGCCGCTCCTCAATCTGGCTCGGGAGCGGGAGCGTGAGGGTTTTGACCGAAGCGCCCAGTGACATGTCCAGGTCCTCGAGGCTGATTCTTGTACTGCTCCGTTTGGTGGCTGTCGAGCAGAAAGTACAAGGGACGACAGGGGTCGTAGAATAGAAACTAGGTCAGTTCATCGAATTGTTATAGGAGGACACCAGACAAGCTACTCTGTGAACAAGATAGACAACGTCAACCGACACTCTGAATGCGCCAACACTCCCCGAGTCCGACCCCGATGGAACCCTAATATAGGGGCCTTAATAATTGGAATAGATTTTAGTGCCCATTATACTAGTAGTATAACTATTAATTTCAAGGAACCCCCAAAATAGTATCGGTAATCATTTAGGCCCCTATACTAAACCCGTATAATAGCCCTTATAGTAGCCGTAATAGGCCCCTTTTAAAGGAACCCTATTGTAATTATCAAGGCCCCCCCTATAGTAAAATGCACACCAAGAGGCATCGCGCCGCTGGAGCCGCTGGAAGGGGCTGCTATCTTCCAGTGGCCCATCTGATTTAGGGTTTACAGTAGGGTCGGGACCCTGAACCCTAAAACGGGTGATGGTGTCTTGCGTGTGGGTCTTGTGGTACTTGCTATGAAGCCTCGGAGCCATTACTAACTCTTGGAATCGATCGATTATCACTTTTCTTAGTGTTATTCCAACTACTGCTGCAGCTGCTGCTACTGCTCGTGCTACTAGTATTACTACCACAACCACGGGGACGAGGACTACTACGACTACGACTATGACTACGACGACGACAACAACTACTACTGCGACTTCGCTTTCGATTACGACTACACTTAGTGTTATTGCTGTCTACTACTACTACTACTACTACTACTACTACTACTACTACGACTACTACTACTACTACTACTGCTACTCCTGCTGCTACCGCTACTGCTACAGACTGCTACTCCTGCTCCTGATCCTGTTCCTGCTGCCGCTACTCCTACTCCGACTCCTGCCGCTACTACTCCACCCCCTCTCGTCCTACTCGTTTCCTGGTCCTCCTCTTCTCCTTCTCCTTCTCTCTACTGCTAGTCCGAGTGCGGCTCCTACACCGGCTCCTACTCTTGCTGTGTTCCTTGGCCTAGGCCTAGGCATAGTCCTAGTGCTGCTACTTCTACTGCTGCTGCTGCTGCTACTGCTTCTGCCTCTACTGCTGCTAGCAGCCGGTACTGGTGCAGGTACGAGCACTGGCACTAGCACTACTACCAGTCAGTCTTCCTGTTTGTTGCTGCTACCATGAGCAGCTTTCGTTCAGATCGTTGCGTTCTTCTGTGATTGCGGTTTTGCTGCTCCTCGTTCCTGTTCTTTGAAGTCTCGGCTTCTTGTCGCTTTTCTCGTGTTGCTTGGGCTGCTCGGGGTCTCGGTGATTCAATTCTCAGATCCATACCATTGGTGCTACTACGACTTTACAGCGGGGTGGTCCTACTCTTGCCGTTGTTACCTCCAGTTGTGTCACTCTTCTCGTCGAATTGCGCAAGAGATCGTATCCCGAGCACTCCGGATTTCGTCATTGCTCGGATTCGGAAAAATTGGAGATGCTGCGAACCCACCCCTATTGAAGCTCCTCAGCCATGATTCAAAAACTTTCCGAAAGCCTGACACCCGCAAACACCTTGCATCTCACCCCAAGCTCCAGGCGTCGCTTGCCCCCGTGGGAAGAAATCGTGCTCTCCGCCAGCTGGCGTCGAAGCAGCGCGGATTGCCGCGCCCTGACTTGAAACTGCGGGTTTTCTGCCAATGGAAGTCGGCAAACATTCGCATCTTCCTCTGCTTGGCCTTCAAGGCTCAAGGATCCATAAAACATTGCACAAATTCATGGTATGTTCTTGAGAGGTCTTGAATTTGCGTCTCAGGTTTTCAGTTCTGGCCAGATGGAGTATAACATTGATCTGAAAGTCTTAACCTTTGAATTTGAATTAAACTTCCTATATATACGTCCATCTGCATGTTTTGCATATACGCATACATCTTGTAGTATATAGGTATACATGTGTATATAAGTGTACACACATTGTACCTACGCACCGACATGTATATCTAGGTATCCATCTGTCTGTCTGTCTGTCTGTCTACCTCTGTCTAAATCTCCATCTAACCACCTATCCATCTACACATCCATCCTCTATCGATCATCCAAACACATGAATCTGCATTCTAACCTATCTACACTTGCCGTTTTGTATCCATTTGTACTTATCACTTATCTGTCTATACCAAGCTAAACCTATATTTGTCTATCTAGACCTATATATGACTGCACTCTATCTCTCCATCTATCTAGGGAGGGAGGGAGAGAGCGAGCGAGAGAGAGAGAGAGAGAGAGAGAGCCGAGCTTCAGACGGAAAGGTGCCCTGGGCTCGGTGCCTCTTCGCGGCAGATGCTTCGCCAAGTGCCATGACATGGGCTTCTAAGGGCTCCGGGGCCCTGCCCACAGAGGGTGGAAGGTCGTTACGGAGGGCTCTGGTAAGGCTGCTTGGGCTGGTGGACTTCAATACTTGTAGGTACAGCTCTTTGCTGTTTCAGCTAGATGGGCTTGTCGGTACCTGTTGCATGATACAAATAAGCTGGGGCGAGCTGTTGATCACATTTGAACATGCGGCCTCTCTCGTTGAAGTGGCATAACTCCAGCTATCTACAGGTTGGAGTCTTGCTACCTTTCTGATCCCGTGATCCAAATAAACTTTCCAGCACTCAGAAACCCTGTAAGCCCTAAAGTGCATGCATGGACTCTGGAGGGCTAAGCACCGCATGCAGGCTTCTTCTTCGAAGAATCCTGGCTCGGCACAGCCGTGAGTACCTTTGAGCAAAGCCGCCCACCGGCATGATCGCTCTCTGGATTCTGTGGCGTAGGACTTTGAAGTTTAAGTGTATGGTTAAGCTGTGGGGCTCCGGACGAACTCTGGCTGCCTCCAGCACACATAAGTTCCCAGCACGTGCACACTGGCCGTACACTTGTCACAGCACATGCCAGGCTCCCCTCCTCGAGACCAGCTCCATCAGATCCACTACCTCGCAAGGCGCCGACCACTCTTGATGCACTGCAATCTTTCACCGGCATTTTTTTGTTTAATTTTTTTTTGTGATCACTCCATCTGACCCCAGCTCCTACCTCTGGGAACCCTAACATCCTAAGCCCCATGACCGTCCCCGTCCCCCGCCCGGCACCCCGGACCTGCTTCTGGAAATGGTCTGACCTGCAAGCACAGCATAATAAACAATGAGTAATAAGGATATATTTGATAAGTATACCATTGATAAATGGCATTAAAATAATATGTACGGAATATTGTACATAATTGATATATTTGATAAATATACCAGCTATTTGGCATTAAAATCAGGCATATTTTATAATCACATGTCTTCTGACTCTGGTGGGCAGCGTGTTCGAGGAGGCTCTGAACCTCGACCATTCTCTTGAAGCTTCATGAGAGTTTCCAAAGATTAGGGGTACCTTATTTGGGGGTCCTTATAATAAGGATCCTACTATTTGGGGTACTTTAGTAGGGTCCCCTATTTTCGGAAACTCTCTCATGGGTAATGTAGGAGCCTCAATCATTGGAACATGGTTTCTGGGCATATCCTAGTTTTGATATGATATGGAACCCTAAGGAATACTACTACTAATTCTTCAAGTTTCAAAGTTACTGAGTGTGTGCATCGGGGCCCAGCAGCCAGCGAACCTTCCTCATTTCAAGCTTCAGGTTGACATGAGATTAGTTGTATACATATTACTAAGGAAAGTATAGTCTGTTATACAAAGCTGTATATTCAAAGTGTATTCTAGTATACGAGTCATAGCAGTGTCTAGTTAGCATATGTAACTCAATTTCCGGTCCAGGAAAGCACAAGAAGCCCACGTTAACTTGGGCCTCGGCCTCCTTTGCACAACCCCAATAAATCTAAGGGGAAAAGGAGGGACCCCTCATGGGGACCCCTACCCTATAATGGGCTTTATAATAGCTATATTAAGGGTATATACCCAGGGGTCCTTATTAAGGGTCCCTCCTTGTCCCCTTTGAATAAAGCCAACTCATGTCCATCTGGGGTTGAGGGTCTAGGGTTGCGGCATCAGCCCCATAGATCCCAGACTCGAATCGCAGGGCACTCTTTTCCACCTTTTGGTGGCTGTACAGTCCAGGCTGCCCCAAAAGCCTAGGATTTGAGACTTCCATCTTTGGGAAGCCTTCTGAAATCATCTGAGGCAGCACAGCCTCATCCATAAGAATCCAGCTCCCCTCTTTCTTTCTGAAATCAGCTGAGGCAGCACAGCCTCATCCATAAGAAGCCAGCTCCCCCTACTGAGATCTCTGCAGGAGGTCGTTCAGTATCTGCGTGGCGAGGATTTAGTGGCGCACAGCTCTGGGTAACACAGGGACCTTCCCAGTTTGAATAGGCTGAATAAGTTTTCTGGGTACGTACATTCTAATCTGGCTGCAAGGGGATACCTGTACTGATTATTCAGACATCGCTCATTCTGTCAGTAGTATCCAAAGGGTTAGGAGAATTTTGAAATCTCGGGCTTGGGGCTTAAAGATGATCATCTGCAAGTCTCGCGCTCTAGATGCAGAACCAGACAACTCTGATTCGGGATGTGAAGGCATCGGCTTGGCTGCGCTAGGCTTTCACGGGAGAGGGGTCCCGAAAGATTGACTGAATAAGCCGCAGGGTCAGGGTATGTGTGAATGTATGTGTGTGTATATATATATATGTGTATATGTATATAGACATACATATGTATATCGTATGTTCGACACAGAGACACATAGATACAAACATGATTGTACATATATGTATGCATATACATATGCACGTACGTGTATACGCGTGCATGCACATATATACGTATATGTATACGCATACGTACTTTTACACATACGTATACATATACGTATACATATACATATGCATGTGCATGTGCATGTACATACTTACACGCACATTCACTCACATATATATATATATGTATATATTATAATGCATAATACATACATAATCATACATACACATGCATGCGCTTGTGCTTCATGTCTTTCGTTTGTGCTCATACCGGGATGTCAGCCAACCAAACCCCCACCAAGCAACCAAGCAAGGGTCTTAACCTACCTGGCAACCCAGCTACCTGGCTACCCAGCTTCCTAGTTACATGGCTACCTAGCGACCTAGCCATCTAATCACCTACCTGCCTACTTAGCCACCAACCGACCAATTTACATGCACCTGCCGGCCCAACGACCGACCTACCGACCAACCCTGCCCACCCACCTACGTGCCGGCTTACAATAATCATGCACATAACTTATGCCTGGTTCGCTACCTCGCCCCGACAAGCCTCAAGCTGTTCCAGCGTCGCATCGACATCATCGCCGTTCACCGGGCCTTTTTAGGTGCTGGATGTCAACCCTCGAACGCACCAAGAATCCCACACCCCCTGAATGCCTAGAGCCCCGAACTCCTCGTCATGCCGAACCTGCGCAGCTTCACTCTCGCACATACACACATATGTATGTAGTTATATATATATATACACACACACACACATACTTATATATATATATATATATATACATATACATATACATATACATATACATATACATATACATATACATATACATATACATATACATATACATATACATATATATATACACACATACATATATATATATATATACATATATATATATATATGTGCCCGATACCTTTAGGGTCTATATAACCGCGGTTTGTTGTCTTCAGCACATAATGGAAAGCAAAATATAGGGTATAAGCACAGCCCACATTACAAAGCCACGACCTGAAAAGTTTCGGATCGACTAGGCTATATTTTTCTATCAAGTAATTATAGCAAATTATTCGCATTCAGGGAGACGAGTATTATATAAACAGAACATCGAGTGTTGATCCCAGCACTGTCGATGAATAAACATTCGTTGTGATGACACATTTCAGTGTATAGAGTCCATACATCTTCCAGGAATGATGTATCGTCGTGGAGATATGCATAGCACTGTCAGCAGTATATCGGCAACACGGACAAATTGTCCTGTCCCAATATTTCACAATTCGACTTATTGTTGACTTGCCAGCGTTTGAGTAATTGCATACGACATATCCACCCAAGAATCACGTAATAAAGCATGCACGCTGTAATATGGCATAAATTTGTTTGTAATTTCCGCACAGGCCAGAATGCAAAACCTGACAGGTTCGGTACTCATGAATCGGATGTGTTCATATGACAAATTATGGGAATACATACGGCATGACACATCCATATCACATGATGCTGTCGCAACACTTACTACAACTCGTTGCCTGTTATATTCTGTTGTTACATATGCTACATATATCTACTGAGGCAAGCCAGGTCTGAACAAACTAGTTCCTTGTCAATAGGGTTTCAATATGAGGAGTGCATGTAATGTATTGGTTCGCCCTGTCCAGGAAGTGAAGAGAAACATTATAGCCCCTGCAATGTGCCAGTTTCTTCTGTCCGTAAGAAGGGCTTTCCGATGTATCAGCTTCATATCAAGAGGGCTTCAGTAGGATGAGTGGGCGTGACAGGTCAAAGGCTTGTAATGTGTTCGTTTGTTCTGTCTGGGGGCTTTCGAATGTATAAGTTCCTCGCCAAAAGAGTTTCGATAGGCGGGAGTGGAGTGACACATTAGAGAGTCTATATTGTGTCAGTTTGTTCTGCCCAGGGGCCTTCCAATATACAGGGTCGCTTCAGTGTATAAGTTCCTTGTCAATAGGTTTCCATGGGGAATGGAGTAACACATTAGAGGGTCTGTAATGTGTCAGGTCGCTGTGTCCAGGAGCCTTCCAAAGTAGGATTTTCCTTGTCAATATACTTTCAATAGAAGGGATGAAGTGACACATTAGAGGGCTTGTAATGTGTTAATTCGTTATGCCCAAGTCAATAGAGTTTGAACAGGGGAAGTGGAGTAACACTTTACAGGGCATGTAATGTGCCAATCTGTTATGTCCTGGACTTTCCAGTGTATAAGTTCCTTGTCAGTAGAGGGTCAATCGGAGTGGGTGGAGTGACACATTAGGGTGCCTGTAATATGTCAATTTGATATGCCCAGGTACAGGGGCCTGACAGTGTATAAGTTCCTTGTTAGTAGGGTTTCAGTAGGAGAAATGGAGTGACACATTAGAGGGCATGTAATATGTCAATTTGCCCAGTCCAGGACCCAGGAAGTGAAGATACACATTATAGTGGGTTTAATGTGCCAGTTTGTTATGTCCATAAAAAGTGCTTTCCGATGTATCAATTTCTTATCAGTAGGGTTTCAATAGGATAGGTGGAGCGACACATTATAGGGCCTGCAGTGTGTCAGTTTATTATGTCCAGGGGGTTTTCTAGTGGAAAAGTTCCATTGCAATAGAGGTTCCATAGGAAGGAGTGGAGTGACACATTAGAGGGCCTGTAATGCGTCATTTTATACTACCCAGAGACCTTCCAATATACAGATGCCCTACAGTGTATAAGTTCCTTGCCTTTAGGGTTTCAATAGGAATAATGACACATTAGAAGGCCTGTAATGTGTCAGTTTGTTTTCCCATGTGCCTTCCAATGTATCTCTATACATGTCAGATCTGATGTGATCACAGCATTAGCCAAGAAGGATATCACGTAGTTAATAGTCTTCACGATCTTAACAAAGGCGCAATTATCCGTATCGAAGGTATACATTCCCATGAAAAAATCCCTATAGATCCCTTCACAGATCCCTTGTATGGAGCCCTCATAGACAGCCTTTATAGATTCGTATAGAAACTTTATAGATCCCCTATATAGAGAAGTTATAGAAACCCCGTATAGATCAACAAATGGAGTTCTTTGTAGAAAACTTTACAAGATCCCTGACATGGAGCTTTCATAGACAACTGCTATATATTCCTTACCCTTTGTAGAAACCACATGGAAGCCCTGTATAGATCCCTCGTATGGAGCCCTTCTGGAAAACCCTTACAGATTGCTTATAGAAATCTTATAGATCCTCTATGTAGAGACCTTATAGAAACCCATTATATAAAAAACTATAGATCCCTTACAGAGAGACTTTCTAGAAACCCATTATGGATCCCTCATATGGGGCCTTTATAGTAAGCCCGGTTACAAAGTATGTAGATGCGATGTGGTAAGCTATTCTTGATATAGTAGTTAAGATAAATCGATTGTATTATGGTTCGTACAATACCTATGAAATTACCTTTAAGAATAGAGGGAGCGGTATTAAAACCAATGAAACCGGCAACGAAGATGATGACGATGAAGAAGATGATGAAGATGATGGAGATGATGAAGATGATGGAGATGATGAAGATGATGAAGATGATGCAGATGATGAAGATGATGAAGATGATGGAGAGGGGGTGGGGTGTCCGCAGCCCTGTTGGACCCTAATGGGTTCGTGGTGGGGGTGGGGGTAGTGGGTGGGGTGGGGGAGGGATGTGAATGGGCAGGGGGTTTGTGCTGGCGTGGTGAGGGGTGGGTTTGGGGGAGTGGGTGATAAAGGTGATAAACCGATGATAAATGATAATAGGATGGTGATAACGATGATGGGGAGGAGTAGGTGGTGGGTGGTGGGTAGTGGGTAGTGGTGGCTGGCGGGTGCTGGGTAGTGGTGGGTGGTGGGTGGTGGGTGATGGGTGGTGTGGTGGGTGGTGTGTGGTGGGTGGTGTGTGGTGGTTGGTGGGGAGGGTGTGGGTGGTGGGCGTGGCGGGTGAGGGGTGCCGGGTGGTGGATAATAGGTGGTGGGTGGTGGGTGGTGATGGGGTACGAGGCAAGGGGCTGAGATAGGGGGGTGGGTAGTGAGGTATGAAGGGGGCGGGAGGGTGGAGTGGGGGCAGGGGTGTATAATCCCTGCGAGCCGCGACCGAGCAGAAAGCCTGTAAATGCCGCGTTCAAAAAACGGCCAGGGATCCCACACATCTGCGGGCAAAATCTGGCGGAAGTGATCCGCCGCCGAGCAAAAAGCCTGTAAATACCGCATTAAACAAAGGGTCAGGGATTTCACACATCTGGTGGCAAAATCTGGCGGAAGTGAGCAGTCGGTACTTCTGTCAAATTTTGCCAACAGATGTGCGAAATCCCTGACCCTTTGTTTAATGCGGTATTTACAGGCTTTTTGCTCGGTGGCGGATCACTTCCGCCAGATTTTGCCCGCAGATGTGGGTGGTGATGGGGTACGAGGCAAGGGGCTGAGATAGGGGGGTGGGTAGTGAGGTATGAAGGGGGCGGGAGGGTGGAGTGGGGGCAGGGGTGTATAATCCCTGCGAGCCGCGACCGAGCAGAAAGCCTGTAAATGCCGCGTTCAAAAAACGGCCAGGGATCCCACACATCTGCGGGCAAAATCTGGCGGAAGTGATCCGCCGCCGAGCAAAAAGCCTGTAAATACGCATTAAACAAAGGGTCAGGGATTTCACACATCTGGTGGCAAAATCTGGCGGAAGTGAGCAGTCGGTACTTCTGTCAGATTTTGCCAACAGATGTGCGAAATCCCTGACCCTTTGTTTAATGCGGTATTTACAGGCTTTTTGCTCGGTGGCGGATCACTTCCGCCAGATTTTGCCCGCAGATGTGTGGGATCCCTAGCCCTTGAAGTGGTGGGTGAGACACGGCGGTTTGGAGTTCTCTCAATCGCTGCTGCGCGCAGCGAACGCCAGCCTATGCCAGCCTGCTGCCCCTTCCCATTTCCAACACCGATCTTGACGGCGAGGCTGTTCTGTCGAATGACATCTTCGCTAACTCTTTGGTAGGGTGGAGGTGGATTCGGGGGTTGAGGGGCGGTGGGTTTAGGGAGGGGGGGGGGCTGGATTAGGAGATAGGTGGTGGGCCATTTCCAGGCGGCACGGCGCGTGGGGGCAGGGGTGGGGTGGGTGGGTGATAGTAGGGGGGGGGGTGGGGGGGTGACCCGTGGGCCCCATCCACAGAACCCCAGGATTTCAATTATTTAAATAATTGAAATAATTGAAATAATTGAAAAGGGGCCGATTTCAATTATTTCAATTATTTGGGCCCTTTCGCGGATTTAAATAATTGAAATAATTGAAATCCGAAGGTTCGGTGGGCCCAAGCCACCAAATCCAGGGATTTCAATACTTGAAATAATTGAAATAATTGAAATGGGGGGATTTCAGTTATTTCGATTATTTGGCGGATTTAAATAATTGAAATAATTGAAATCCTCCCATTTCAATTATTTCAATTCTTTAAATGATTCAAATCGGTGGGATTCGTGGCTTGGCCCAGAACAGCCATCGATTTCAATTATTTCAATTATTTCAATTATTTGGGCCCTTTGGCGGATTTAAATAATTGAAATAATTGAAATCCGAAGGTTCGGTGGGCCCAAGCCACCAAATCCAGGGATTTCAATAATTGAAATAATTGAAATGGGGGGATTTCAATTATTTCAATTATTTCGGGCCTTTGGCGGATTTAAATAATTGAAATAATTGAAATCCCCCCATTTCAATTATTTCAATTATTTAAATAATTCAAATCGGTGGGATTCGTGGCTTGGCCCAGAACAGCCATCGATTTCAATTATTTGGGCCCTTTGGCGGATTTAAATAATTGAAATAATTGAAATCCGAAGGTTCTGTGGGCCCAAGCCACCAAATCCAGGGATTTCAATAATTGAAATAATCGAAATAATTGAAATAATTGAAATGGGGGGATATCAATTATTTCAATTATTTGGGGCCTTTGGCGGATTTAAATAATTGAAATAATTGAAATTCCCCATTTCAATTATTTCAATTATTTCAATTATTTAAATAATTCAAATCGGTGGGATTCGTGGCTTGGCACAGAACAGCCATCGATTTCAATTATTTCAATTATTTGGGTCCTTTGGCGGATTTCAATAATTGAAATAATTGAAATCCGAAGGTTCTGTGGGCCCAAGCCACCAAATCCAGGGATTTCAATAATTGAAATAATTGAAATGGGGGGATTTCAATTATTTCAATTATTTGGGGCCTTTGGCGGATTTAAATAATTGAAATAATTGAAATCCCCCCATTTCAACTATTTCAATTATTTAAATAATTCAAATCGGTGGGATTCGTGGCTTGACCCAGAACAGCCATCGATTTCAATTATTTCAATTATTTGGGCCCTTTGGCGGATTTAAATAATTGAAATAATTGAAATCCGAAGGTTCAGTGGGCCCAAGCCACCAAATCCAGGGATTTCAATAATTGAAATAATTGAAATGGGGGGATTTCAATTATTTCAATTATTTGGGGCCTTTGGCGGATTTAAATAATTGAAATAATTGAAATCCTCCCATTTCAATTATTTCAATTATTTCAATCCCTGGATTTGGTGGCTTGGGCCCACTGAACAGCCTTCGGATTTCAATTATTTCAATTATTTGGGCCCTTTTGCGGATTTAAATAATTGAAATAATTGAAATCAACTCTGCTGATTTCAATTATTTCAATTATTTTAAATAATATTAGTCATGCAGAAAAGAATAGAGCGTAAAATAGACCCTAGAGGCGCCTCTCTCTCTCTCTCTCTCATATATATATATATATACATACACTTGTATATATGTATACTTATATATCATATGTGCAGGTATATGCCTGCGAACGTCAGTCCGATAGAACCGGGGTTACAGATGTCAACGCAGTCTTGCTGCACATTGTCCCATACGTTAATGTGCTCTGCGGAAGCCTCCCTCGCTGCAAACACGAGCTTAAGTGGGCTTCCCATACCAAATGTCCGACCCTGCAACATGTAGACCCTACCATTGTAAGACTGGCGGCGCTTGTCTCGAAGCCGCGGAATGCTCTGTGTATGATCGGAACTACCTTGGCTGAGAGGGCATAAATTATGCCCCCTCATCGTCCCTACATCACTATACTGTAGGATCTCCTAAAACCCTATTCTATTCTTAAACCCTATTATCCCGAACTGCAGCTGCAGCCCCTCGCCTCTTGGTTACCTCCGTCCCAGACCTTGACCCGTACTGTTCGCAGTTTTGAGGACCGTGGCTTTACAGCTTTGGGCTCTGTGCGGACTGCTCCGAGGCCCACGCCAATGCAATGAAGAACAAGGTTTGATGAATTGGAGTTGAACTGCGTTGGGTGTCGGTTTCTGAGATTTTTGTCGTCCGGGAGTTAATGCGACCTTCCTGCACCCCACAACAGGTCCGAGCACGCGCTGCCTGACCTCGTCGAAGCTCAGCACTGAACTCGTTGAAGGTCGGCAGTTCGCCGCCGAAAGGCGCCAGCACAGATCGCAGTGCCTCCCAGGTAGATTTGGGGAGGTGCAACTTGGGTTTGGGGTTGGGGCCAGGTTTTAGCCCACGTGGAACTCAACAGGGGAAATACGAGGAAAGTGCAAGAGCTCATGGGCTTGCTACTAGCTTAGCTTTGGTTAGTAGGGAATAGAAGAATGGCAGAAAATAAAGGTTATAATTGTACCCCATTCCTCCATTCCCTACTAACCCAAGGTAACCTAGATAGTCATTGAGCGGTTGGAGGTTCCCTGCCTGCGAGCTGCTGGCCCTGCCACTGGCACTTGACGTGCCTGCAAAGCTCACGAGAATTAATACCTAGCCTATACCTACTCCAACTACTAATCTGCTGCTATACTGCTGCTGCTACTGCTGTTAGTCCTGCTGCTGCTGCTGCTGTAATACTGCTAGTACTGCTGCTACTGATACTGTTACTGTTGGTGCTGCCGCTGCTACTGCTACTGCTACTACTCCCGCTGCTGCTGCTTCTGCTCCTGCTACTCCTACTACGTCCTACTACTCTCGCTGCTCTCATGCTCCTACTGCTCCTGCTGCTCCTACCACTCGTACTCCTACTCCTACTCGTCACGCTCCTACTGCCACTGCTACTACGACGAGTGCCACCACCACTATGACGGCACAACCAGTAGAAGTAGCAGTAGCAGTAGCAGTAGCAGTAGCAGTAGCAGTAGCAGTAGCAGTAGCAGTAGCAGTAGGTAGTAGTAGTAGTAGTAGTAGTAGTAGTAGTAGTAGTAGTAGTAGTAGTAGTAGTAGTAGTAGTAGTAGTAGTAGTAGTAGTAGTAGTAGTAGTAGCCCACCGCCAGCAGCACCACCTCTAGTAGTACTACTGCAGGTACTAGGGCTAGCATTTGTGCTGCAAATGCCCCTGCGACCACGGTGACTACTTCCATGCACTACGTCCCTAGAGCGCCATGAGCAGCACTAGTGCTATCGTTTGGTGGCAGCATTGCTAACGGTTTCATCAGGACTCAACCACTACGAGTATCATCATTTGCTCCATCATCGTTATCATCATCGATAATACCATCGCACGGGGGCTGGGAACAAAGCCAGCAAAAGAGCAGAAGCAGCGAGACAAGGTGCAGTTTAGTGCTGCAGCTGTGGATATGCTTGCACTAGTAGTGGCAATCACTTCATTGGCTTACAAAGTTCCTGCATATTCCTAACAAGACAGTCGTCATGCTTACCGCAAAGCAATGTGGGATCCGAATGGAGTGCACGCAGGGATTCTGACAATAAGGTCCTGCGTACGGGTGTATAATCGTAACCCTCTGCCCGAACCCACAACCAAACAATATGACGCCCCAAAACTCCAAAGACCAAACCCATCTCATCCATCAGCCTCATAATGCTATACTGTCCGGATTAAGTATGTAAAACCCTACAAGTATATAATCATCTCTCAGCCCTCAATCCGAAATCCCAAAAATTATCGTTACGAGTGCCTCCCAGCTCAGCCATGAGAGGTGCTTCGTCGTCTTCGTCCACATCCTAGGCTGTTCAGTAACCCACTGGGAAGGCGTGTATGCCTTTTCGGCTACTTGCATTATAATAGGAACCCAGAGACAAGAAAGCAACAAAGTGTACCGCTGAAAAAACCCAGCATCCATGGCTACACACTCCAGTGCCGCCAGTTCCACGTCTATCACGCCTTTTGGGGTTCAGGGCTTCAGGGGGACTTTAGGCTTAGGGGTCCAAGTGATTTGTGATCTTTCGGGTCTCAGATGGGGAAGGGTTGCCGAAATCCTCACTTTGACATGAACGCTGCAGCCTCAAACAGAAACCGAAGCTCGAAAAAGCACAGCCCCGGCATGCCCCAAAGGCCATTCCTACATCGTGACGGGTATAAAGTTTGCGGTAGAGGGAGACTTAAGTTCATAGAACCCTTTCGGCCCAAGCTACTATAGAGGCCTTATTAATAATTAGAATAAGGTTTCGGGGTCCATTATGCTATAATTATAACGAGGAACCCCATACCCTATTCTAATCAGTATATTAAGGCCCTTATAGTATGCCTCCGCCCGCCTCCTACCGCGGGTGTGGCAGGTCGTGCAGCAGCTGGCGCCTTGAAACAGGGCAGCTGGACGGTCTAAAGTTTGGGGCTCATCCACTCTTTTAAGCAAGCTCTTTTCATGTGGGGGGCCTGAATAACGAGGATGGGGTTTTGGGGGTTCCTTATTATAGTTAGAGTCAGTTAGAGTATAAGATACAACCCCTATTCTGATTGTTAAGGTCCCTGTATTGTGTTGGCATGAAACCATGTGCCTCAAGAAGGCTAACAGGGCCTAGTGGCGGGCACGGTCCAATGAGAACGCAGCACACATCACGTCTATGACTATATCATATGGGTGGTTGTTCTTTTTTCAGGGTCCCTTTTGGGTTACCCTAAATATACGGTGCCGCACGAAAAGAAGGGACCCAGAAAGGTACCATAATTTTGACCACCACCCATATGTACACGAGTTCTTTTCTGCCAGCATAAACCCCGAAGAGTCCAACGCTCCCGCAACCGGAAGCTTCCGAGACCACCACTCTGCGGAGTCCAAAAAGGCACGCAACTTTGTGGTGAGAGCGAAACAGGCATGGTTTTACGTAAAAAATGACATAGCGTGGAAAGGTGGCGAGGCAGGGCTGAGCGTAATAACACCCAGATACTCGAAGAGTCCTTAAACCGTCCGCGCAAATGCCACAAGCAAAGCCAAAATCACAAACCTCAACAGGACTCTAACACAAGCCGAGTGCTACACTTACACATAAGAGCCACAGCGGAGAAATGTTAAGTCGAAGACAAAAGATCGCAAATATCATGTGCCGACGACAAACAAAAAGACACCTGTAGAGACTATGTGGCTGTGGCTTCATTCAGCGAGTACGAACAACCGCTACACAACTAATATCGACTGATCCTACTGTGGGTGAACATGTGCACTCAAACTTCACAAGCAAGGTGCTGACTGCGTGACGTGTTGAATTCAAGAGGAAATGGATGCATGTGAGGCGAGAGCTACCAGAGAACAGTGAACAGAGACTCTTGGAGGCGAGAATGACGAACAACTACACCATGGAGATTGCAGAAAGCTAGGGCCTTGATGTATCAGGAAAGGTATTCGAGGCACATTGCACCATAATGCTTCATAGGGACTGCAAAGGCCATCTTGTTGCTAAATAAACAAAATACATGCATAATACTTCTATATAGCATATGTATATATGTATATATGTATATGTATATATATATATATAGACACACACGCACATCTACGTTAGAATGCCTGCAGCCTCTGTCTTCATCGGGCTCGGGTGGGATCCTTTGAAAATTTGTCCAGCAAGGGTCCGCTCTCACATGCTGTTCTCTGTCGCTGGCCTTTGCTTCGGAGGGTGCTGACGCTGGACCTGCAGTGACGGTTTAGGGTTTGGGCTTCTTCTGGCCAGTTGCTGAAAAACAGAGTGCCTGCGCGGGCAGCTGTGGGCAGTGCTGCGCGTTCAACTGGCGATGGCACCTCCCACATCTACACGTCAGAGATTGTAACAAAGCTGTGGGTGTGCCAAGCTGCCTCAGAATCGTAAATGTCTTGATGAGCAGTCACCGAAAAGGCCTGTGCACCCTCGTAAAGCTCCAGGTCAGGCGCAATGTCGATGGAGAAGGGTTTAGGTGTTGCAGACGTCAACGCCTATATCAAACCCTCAAACACCGGAAATCCAAGCCCAGCTTTCGCCACCATCCAGCAACAAAATTCTTCTTACCCCACCGAAACCTGGAACCTCGACCGCATCCCTTAATGCATGGCGTCAGCTGTTGTCCGCACTGCTTTGCACATGGGTCAAGCGCTGCCGTGGTTCGCTTTCAGCAGGTTTCGTCTAAGGTTTGTGCTCATCCTTGTTCTGCGTCTGTGCAGTTGTGTTGGTTGCGCCGTTTTTTCTGAGACCGACACAACATCAATCGTTAAACTTCTCGACGATGTCCTTGTGGTCATGCTCCATGTTTCATGCGCGGGGTTTCTAACTTCAGGAAATCATGCGCAAGCAACCTTTCAGTAATTTTCGTTTGCATGCGGATGGTAGAAAACTGTCCCACAGCACGGTCCGGTGCTTCTATCACAGCAAAGCTCCGGAAGTTGCCCCTAGGCCCTAAACCCGAAACCCTAAAACCTTAGACCCTAAATAAACCCGAATATCGGGGGAAGTATTCTTTCGTAACGCTGGCAGTCCTCAGTCTCGTTTGCTAAGGTTGGCTTTGCCGTTTTGGTTAAAAGTGCTGTGCATTGCAACATTTGCTACTGCTTTGCATCAAGCTATCAGGGAAATGCAATGGGCAGTTGCCACAAACCACTGGGGAATTGCAAGTTGCAGGGTGGCGGTTTGCCGCAAGCTATTGTGGAATTGCAGTTGGCAGGGTGACGGATTGCCACAGGCTATTGGGGAATTGTACTTTGCAGGGTGCCGTTTTGCCGCAAGCTATTGGGGAATTGTAATTGGCAGGGTGACGGTTTGCCGCAAGCTATTGGGGAATGGCAATTGGCAGGGTGCCGTTGTGCCGCAGGCTATTGGAGACTTGAAATTTGCAGGATGGCGGTTTACCGCAAGCTCTTCGAGAAATGCAGGATGACGGTTTGCAGCAAGCTATTTGGGAATTGTGTTTTGCAGGGTGCCGTTGTTGCCGCAACGGATTGCCGCAAGCTATTGGGGAATTGTACTTTGCAGGGTGGCGTCTTGCCGCAAGCTATTGGGGAATTGCAAATTGCAGGATGACGGTTTGCCGCAAGCTATTGGGGAAATGAACGTTTGCAGGATGACGGTTTGCCACAGGCTGCTGGGGAATTGCAATTTGCAGGGTGGCATCTTGCCGGAAGCTATTGGGGAATGATAGTTTGCAGGGTGGCGCAAGCTGTTGGGGAATTGCAATTGGCAGAACTTGTTCCGGATAGCAGGCTCTTCTTGAGTCCTCGAATGAGGAATGTATGTTAAACATAACATTGCGCCCCTAAAGTTAAAGGTATATTCCTTAATCCAGGGGTCCCTAGTTCGCTTCTTTCTACCCCAAACTTTAGGGTAGATAGAAAAGCACCGAAGGCCAAAACTCATGAAGCTCCCAACAGACTCTGCTCTAGTCCGACATGTATAGGTCAATGAAAATTAGGGATTCAAGACCCTAAATCCAAGTTGCTTTTTGCATGGTGGCCTTCTGCCACAAGCTGTTGGGGAATTGCAATTTGCAGGTTGGCGTTTTGCTGCAAGCTACCGTGGAATGGCAATTGTCAGGGTGGTGTTTTGCCGCAAGCTACTGAGGGATTGGAATTTGCAGGGTGACGTTTGGCCTGTATCATTTTTCTTCTTATCATAATATTACTTCTACCAACTACTGCAACATAGACGGCGTCAGCCAAACGGCCCCCCGGCGCCTTAGCCGTCGGAGGCTGCAGAGCCACGGGCGCCTTCCGCTCGAGAGCTGAGCCACAAACAAGATGAATACTGATAATAATAATGATGATCTCTATTGACAATAATTTTAAGTAGCACTACTAGAACTAGTAATTAACAAATCATCACGACTAAGCACCCGCTCCCGCACTCCAGTTCCTCAAGTTCCCCGAAAACCTGTAAGCTCGACATCATCATTTCTTTGCCAATGATGCCTTGAAGCCGAATGAACGGTTTCAACTGCTGCATGTACGGCTTGGCACGAGACATGAGTCAAGTGCTCTGGTGGTTCTCTTCCAAAAGGATTCGGATAATTACCGTTGATGTGCATGTGAGCGGTTCTGTGGGTTGTGCCTTTCCCGCTCTTAAGGCATGTCGCCCACAGATATCTCTCGCTTGAACGGCACAAACAAGTTATTGTGCATAAACCGGCCACGCAAGAGCTCTAAATCGAGCACAATTGCAAAACTAGAGCTTCCCCGAGTGTGCAACTTGCAACATAACATCGCGACTCTAAGCCGTGCTGGCGAGGCCTTGGATTTCGCAGCCGTCGGGGGCCCTTTGGCAGGCTCCTGGCGCGAGAGAGCTAGGCGACCCCTCCCGACTGCCTGCTACTGCCTGCTGTTCTATTTGTTCCCTGTCGCTGGCCTTCGCAGCGAACGGTGCAGAAGCTTCACCTGCAAAGTAGGGGCGATTGCTTCTGCGCTGGCCCCGTCATACAACACATGTTCTCGGGCAACGCAAGGCTGCAACCTCTACTCTATGAGCAGTATAGTACTGTTTCCAGTCGGCTTTGCTTGGGCGTTCATCCAGCCAACCTCTGCAGCACAGCTGTAAAGCAAACTGCCTCCGCCCGCAGCTGTGGGCTGTGCCCTTCGTTCGCCTGGTGTTGGCGCCTCCCACATGCAAGGCATGAGGCCGATATTGGGCAAAGCTCAGCTGGTACAAACAGTCTTAGGCATCGTAAGTGTCTCAGGACTAAGACGTTAACCCTCCTAAGAGCAGTCACTGAAAGGTCCGTGCGGCGTGGCAAAACAGGTTCGGCCGTTGCAGAGGCCGATGATAGCCGAGGCCAAACCCTCAAACGCTCAAAATCCAAGCCTATATCCCGTTACTGAACCTTCACGACTAAGCACCCACTCCCGCACTCCAGTTCCTCAAGTTCCCCGAAAACCTGTAAGCTGGACATCATCGTTTCTTTGCCAATGATGCCTTGAAGCCGAATGAACGGTTTCAACTGCTGCACGTACGGCTTGGCACGAGACGTGAGTCAAGTGCTCTGGTGGTTCTCTTCCAAAAGGATTCGGATAATTACCGTTGATGTGCATGTGAGCGGTTCTGTGGGTTGTGCCTTTCCCGCTCTGAAAGCATGTCGCCCAGAACAAACAAGTTGTTGTACATCAACCGGCCACGCAAGAGCTCTAAATTTGCAAGACTAGAGTTTTCACCGAGTGTGCAACTTGCAACATAACATCGCGACTCTAAGCCGTGCTGGCGAGGCCTTGGATTTCGCAGCCGTCGGGGGCCCTTTGGCAGGCTCCTTGCGCGAGAGAGCTAGGCGACCCCTCCCGACTGCCTGCTACTGCCTGCTGCTCCCTCCGTTCCCTGTCGCTGGCCTTCGCAGCGAACGGTGCAGAAGCTTCACCTGCAAAGTAGGGGCGATTGCTTCTGGGCTGGCCCCGTCATACAACACATGTTCTCGGGCAACGCAAGGCTGCAACCTCTACTCTATGAGCAGTATAGTACTGTTTCCAGTCGGCTTTGCTTGGGCGTTCATCCAGCCAACCTCTGCAAGACAGCTGCAAAGCAAACTGCCTCCGCCAGCAGCTGTGGGCAGTGCCCGCCGTTCGCCTAGTGTTGGCGCCTCCCACATGCAAGGTATGAGGCCGATATTGGGCAAAGCTGCGCTGTTGACAAACAGTCTTGGGCATCGTAAGTGTCTCAGGACTAAGACGTTAACCCTCCTAAGAGCAGTCACTGAAAGGTTCGTGCAGCGTGGCAAAGCAGGTTCGGCCGTTGCAGAAGCCGATGATAGCCGAGGCCAAACCCTCAAACACTGAAAATCCAAGCCTATATCCCGATACTGAACCTTCACCCCACTCCCGCACTGCAGTCCCTCTCCACATCATCGTGCCTTGAAGCCGAATGCATGGTTACAACTGCCGCACGTGCGGCTATGCACGAGACAAGAGTCAACTGCTCTGGTGTTTCTCTTTCACAAAGTTTCGGAGAATTACCGTTTTTATGTGCTTGCAAAAAGCGGATACTCCAACGCGTGCAACTTGCATCAAAACCGCATCGCAACTCTGAGCCGTGCTGGCGAGGCCTTGGATTTCGCAGCCGTCGGGGGCCCTTTGGCAGGCTCCTGGCGCGAGAGAGCTAGGCGACCCCTCCCGACTGCCTGCTACTGCCTGCTGTTCCATTCGTTCCCTGTCGCTGGCCTTCGCAGCGAAAGGTGCAGAAGCTTCACCTGCAAAGTAAGGGGTGATTGCTTCTGGGCTGGCCCCGTCATACAACACATGTTCGCTCCGGCAACACAAGGCTGCAAGCAGTTCTCTATGAGCCCTATGTACTGTTTTCCCAGTCGGCTTTGCTTGGGCGTTCATCCCGCCAACCCCTGCGAAGCAGACAGCCTGCGATCGCAGCCGTGGGCAGTGCCGGCCGTTCGCCTGGCGTTGGCGCCTGCAAGGTATGAGGCCGAGTTTGGAATCTGCACTGTCCACCGGTGATGAGGCCTTCCAAGTCTTACAATGCTGAGACCGTGGCTAAGCTATGAAAGTGGCACGACCCTTTTGCATGCAAGAGCTCCGCAACACAGCACAACTCCCCGAACAACTACAAAACAACCCTGTCTCCTGTAGACTCCAGCGCCTTTGATTTTGCGGCCGTCGGGGTCACTTTCGGCGCGGGAGGCTGCGAGGCCGCTAGCACCTTTGTGCCAACAAGAAGCTGCCCGGCCCTTAGCCTCGCCCCTCTCTCTGCCTCTCGGTCTGCTCTCTGCAACTCCATGGGGTTCCCGCCTTCGGCTTGGACGCCGCCGAAGCTTCACCTGCATGCTTCAATGCTGTCGGTTCAGGGCAGGTCATGTCATCGCACACGAAGAAGCCCTAGACCACCAGTTCGCAAAGTGTCTTCAGCCTAATGGAAAACCGTCCTTCCATCACAGCAGAGGATCCGCAACTTCTTCATCATCGTCATCAACATCATCTCGCCATGCCCGTCGTTATGACAATCATCATCGTCGTCATCACCATCGTCAGATCTCGATCCCGCCTTTACTGTTATCGTCACCGACATCAATTGCAAAATCCCAACTTTTTTCATGTATGTTGTCTATCGGAAGTTCCTGCAGAAGCGAAACTTTAAACCCTGTTGACAAATCAGCGCCAAGCCCAGTAACAGCTGGAATGGTATTCATAATATAGGTATGATAGGCCCTTAATAGTAGCCCTATTCTAGACTGTTACTGATGCTGCAGCCTCTCTGCGGAGCTGCCAAAGGCGCTGGGATGGGCGGTGGTACCTTCGGCTCTGCTGGGCTTTGCTTTTAGAAGACCCGTCTAATCATTGGGCCCTACAGAAATTCCTTTTTTGGGGTTACCCTATAGGATTCTATATATGCACCCCAACAAGGAACCACTTTGGGGCCTTTGGGTAATCATTGGGCCCTATTTTTTTCGGTGTAAGCGAGCGAAGTTCCTAACAACGACGATTGCTGCTGCTACTGCTGCTGCCCTGGCGGCTTTGGGTCATCCCTAAACCCCTTCACCTAGACCCTAAACCCCCAAATCCGAAAAAAAGCGCAGTTGCTAATTTCAAAGCAGATAGGATGCTGATCATGATGACTTCGATCATGGCAAAGGTGTACAACGTTCCATTGGTTGTACACTAGGATCATAGTGTGGTCGCCAAACGACCTCGAACTACTCAACTCGCGGGATAAATGCATGAAGCAACTTGTATTTTCATTGATTGGATGCGCGAAGTCCACTGACCTTCCAGCAGGTACATGAAACCCGAGCGGCCTGTGACTTGTCAACCCAGCATGATGCAGTGATGGCAGGAGGTGTTGTGTGTGTGTGTGTGTTTTTAAAGGCTCCTGCATGTGCACTTGAGTCCTCGGCTTTGTATCCTGCGCAACCTGTATCCATGATAACAAGCAAATCTCAATTTGTGAACATGCGACAACACAGAGTTGGATCATTCGTAAGAGTTTGATTCCATCCAGCCACCGCGACATCAACGCTCCGAAGTTCCTGAACCTTGGAATAATTGTACTGCGAACCCCAAGGCATCAATGTAACACCCCGCTCCAAGTGTATTGGGCTAGGAAGGGGTGGCATGCAAGCGTTGAGATCCCAAACTAGAACCTGTAAGACCTGAGCCCTAAAAGCTCGCAACCCTACAACCACCTCAGTCCCAAACCCGAATCTACGCCCTAAGCCTCAAACCCTAACCCCGATACACCTCAAGCCAAATAATCCGTAAACCCCATAAAACGGACTCTCTGCACCCTACGAGCCTTAAGCCCTCTTAACCCTGTACGCCTTGCGCCCTCTAAACCCTATAAGCCTTTAACTTAAACCCCTAAACCCTGCACACCCTAAGCCGTTTAAGCTTCCGCCTTGAACCTCGCTACAACAACGCGAGAGGGGCCTTGGCCTCGAGGTGTCGCGGGTCGGCTGCAGATTCATCTGGCGGTTTGCGGGTTGAGGGTTCCATGTGGCTTTCTTGGCGTGCATATGGGATTGCACAGGGCTTATCCACAGATGTGCAGATAGATATAGATAGAGATCGGGTCTATGTGTTTCCCCAGTCATGCGTTCCCAGTCCCCCTCGATGGTGTCGGGTTGGTGTAGATTTTTGGGCTAAGGGGGCAGGTTGCGGGGCGTCGGATTCATGGCCCAGGTTCGGGTTTTTCAGACTTAGATTGAGGATGGCTCGTGTTATCTGCACGCTGCTGGTCTGCGCCATGGTTAAGCTACACCTACAGGAAATGGCATCCTTCTGTGGGAGTTCAGCAAAACTGCCTCCATGGAACAGGTTCCAAGACCGCATGAGGTTTGAACTTGTATACGGCGACCTAAAGCTTAAGACCCGAACCTCCAAATCCTCAAACCAAACCCCAACATCCGACAGCCGCAAATCCAAAAGCCCATGGCACCCTTTACAGTTCGTTTCATTTCTCCCGGCGATTGAATCTACCTGTCTTCAGGTCATTGGAGCTGGCCCCACCTGACAGATCCTCCACGAAGACGACCCGCAACTCCTCGCGCAACGAAGCTCTGACACATGACGTGAGAGAAGTCCAAGGATTCGGCTGTAGGGCTTCGGCTGAACTGTATACACCTGGTACATAAACTTATATGTAAACAAGCATATGCAGAATCACATAAAACATGTATACATATATATGTGTTTGTATGGCTGGTACGGATTTCCATGTTTTTCCAGTGGGCATGTTCGTCTGCAAAACAGGCCTGGTACAGTGATGTCATGCCGGTGAAAAGTTGTTGGATTTTTTTTGGAGGGGGGGTCAGCGGTCTGAGTTATGGAACTGTTGTCATGATTGATAGCTACCCCTGTAGTACTCCTCAAAGAAACCCTGACAGCCGTCCGTCCTCTGTTGGCTTCCCCACTCTGATAACCTTCGGGGAAAGCATTGCGGCGGGCCATCTCCTTCTCGCGGGCGACTGCTCAGCCTCCCGGCACGGTGTCGCTTGGGCATGAGTCATGAGTTTAGGATGATAGGATTTCAGGTGTTTAGACTCAATTACGCGTCCCTCCCATTTCATCAGGACTGCATAGTCAGAATGGTATAGCTATTCAGGCCGCTATAGAATCCCAAACTCCCAGACAGCAAGAACTAGAATACCTCAATATTTTCGAAGACAGTACAGTGCAACGGCCAATAACCTCGAATAGCACCAGGCAGCAAAACTTTCTATAACAACCTCAGGCCGAAACTCCATCCAGCCGGCTTACAACAAAACTCTGCACCGACGCTCCGTGCGTAGGGCCTTCGTCGTCAGAGCTGCCGGAACAGCACCTCCTAACGAGCCTGAAGATCAGGCAAGAAGAGCTTAGTCGACCGAATGCTTTGGCTGGGGGCTTGCGGTTTGCTGGGCGTGTTGGAGCTTTCAAATTTGCAGGTTGGCGGTTTCAGTTTTTTGTTTCGTTGGAGTCTACGGTTTCAGGTTTGGGGTTGTAGTGTCTCGGACTTTAGGCTTGAACCTGATGCCTCTGGCGTCCCAGGGGTCGAACACTGAAACCTGGAACCCATGAAAACAAAAAAATAACCAAACAGATTTACCGGGCTTGGGGTTAAGCAGATGATGCTATCTATAAATCTTCAGGAGTCATCGTTGGGGGAATGTGGGCCAAATCCCATACAACCCGCAACGTATACATATGTGACCCGCGCCTGGCAGTTTCGGTGTAGTCGAAATCTGTGGGGATAGTCTCTGGGCATGACTCTTTCTGATTCTACTTGTGCTGCATGGAGCAGACTCATGCACATAGCAAGTCTAATCTTCTTCGCTTAGACCACCATGCAAACCGCTGTATAGTGGCTACAGCTGCCGGGCATCTGAACTTTGCTCTACTTTACGATGATATACTATAGTAACGTACATGATGTACCATGTATCCTATAGCATATACTAGACATGGCGGCGCCTGCGGTGGCGGGCTGCGAAGATGCAGCTGCCTCGCACTCGGTGCAAAATGAAAGCAGCCGTGATCAAAGCGTTACTTCGTGTGTATGTTTATACCCAGAGGCCCCAAAGTAGTTCTCTTTTGGGGTTGGGTAGAGGTCATTACTGTTGCTTTTTTACAGCACCTGCTTAGGACGGCTCTGAACGTTCTCGCAGTGAAAGTGAAGGCATTAGGTTCGTGAGTATGCAAGGAGCTCGGTCATACTCCACTAACGATCCTGTTTCTTCGGCCCATCAACCCAAAACCCCAACCAACGTCCAAAGCGTTCCAAAACCCCAAAACCGTTTAATTCTCAGCATGGAGAAACCTTCTTCCAGTGTCAGAGTGATCCTGGAGAGTTCTTACTTTATTGCTCTGTATAAGGCGTCTTGATGTATGGCCAAGATGGCTACGCTGTTTGGGTGCCTATCGGAAGAGTTCTCTGCTTCTGTCCTGACTGAGGCTGCAGGGTAGCCGTCACAGGTGTCTTTTAGGTACGGCCCCCACTCAGTAATAGTTGAATAATATACATAATATAGATATATTAGGACCTTAATAGTAGCCCTATTATAGACTCTTACTGTATGGGGGCCGTACCCAAGGTGTCTTGTCGTTTCGAACCACAAGCCCTCGCTTGATGCCTGCCCCGGCGGCTGCGCAGGGCCTGTGAGGCGCTGGAGGAAGGTAGGGTTTAGGGTTTAGGGTTTAGGGAAGGTACGAACTTCTGAAACCAATGGTGCGAATGGCACGCGTGTCAAATATGCATGCGGACGCGGACGCAACGCGGCGGGAGGCGATACCAAAAGGACAAATGTGGAGGCATGGGTAGATGGCGCGCACACACTTACACACGGACACCCACATTGTGCATGCGTTCCCATGACTGGAAAATACTGGAAACCAACAGCTGCATCTGACAGAGCACACGGGAATTGAACATCATGCAATACATGTTGCACACATCATGATATTTAGACATAGACATATGTGCAGGTGTGTGTGTGTGTATCAGTTTTTATGTACTTATTCATATATGTATATATATATACATATATATATATATATACACATAAATACTTGTATACATAAGCGCAAGCGAACAAGAAGCGCCTCCGACGGAGGCTCCAGCGGTCTCCACTGGTCTGCTGGGCCCCTTGGATGGCTTTCGGCTTGAGGTTCGGGAACAGGCTTCCCTTTAAAATGGATCCTTAAAGGGTTACTATAAGGGATACTGTAAGGGTAGTATGATAAAGGGGCCTTAACAATTAGAATTAGGGTTTTGGGCCCGATTTATATTATAATTCTACTAAGGAACCCCCAAAATTGTATAGGTAATTCGTAAATCAAAACCCCTATATTTCGCCGGGTGGGATGGAAAGCTTGGGCAGGAGGGCTCATCCATGCAAGTATATGATGCATGTATATGTATATGTCTATGTCTAGGCAGAGGTAGAGGTATATGTGCATCCGTATATATGCCTACACATGATCATGCATGTACCCATACTTATTTCTGGTACCACTATACCACTATAGTATGTACAGCTCCCCTCAGGCACCCATCAGCGGTCATGTGTTGTGGGACATCAATTCCCAACTGCAGAACACGCTAGCATCGCAACAGGAGCGCCTGTCATGCGACACCAACATGCGGCAATGCAACGAGTCTCCCATATTAATGGTATATGTATGGTATCTTGTCATTGATTGTAGTATATGATCATGCCATGTTAAGGTATAGTGTCGTATGATGTACCATGGTATAGTTCTCGACAGTACGATGCGAACGATTATCGCCCAGTGTATAGAATTTCTGCGGAGCCTTTCAAAGTGTATTCCTAGAGAATTTTCTGTCAAACATGATGGTAGGGGCTGGAAGGCATTTGGGCAGCTGATTAGCCTTGAACAAGATTCTCTACAGTTCAGGGTCGTCAAGTTGGTCGCACCTTTTTGTTTGTAGTCCTCACCCTGAACCCGAAACCATAATTCCCACAGAATCCTCGCCATAAGCGCCCAACCCAAAACCTGACACCCAAAGGTAATCGTCGCCCAAGCCCTGCAACTACCCGATTCGAAACGCCTGCTTCATCCTCCTTGGCTGACGGTGAGCAGACGCCGGCCGTGTGGGACCTTGGATTGCTCCAAGGGTGTAGGGTTTATAGGTGTTCGGGATTGAGGTTTAGAGGTCAGGGTTTAGGGATTGAGGCTTCAGGGTTTGGTTGTGGGTTCAGGGCATAAGGCTCCAAGCTTAGGCAATCTAACTCCTCGAGCTGTTGCGGTGGGGCCAAAGATGTTCTGTGTCGGTGTCTTCGCGCTCTTACGTGTGGATGTGGGCTTCGTCAAGAGTTGCTGGCAGACCCAAGCAGCAAAAAAAAGTCTCGGGCAATGCCAAAGAGCCTGTCCCTCCGGAGCTTTCGGACAAATAAACTGAAGCAACTGTGCACAGCCCATGTATGTTCCGGCTCCGACGAACCGTACAGTCAGACTATTGGAGCAATGCTAGCTGCCATTCTGACATGTGAAGACTTTGACCGCTTAACACGACCAGTTCAAAGTCAAGCCAAAGATGCTGTAGCTGTCGGGGCTTGAGCCCTTGTTGCTGCTGACGTAGGAGCTGCTGCTGCTGAAGCTACCGCTTCGGCTGTGCGACGGTGACGGCGCCTGCATCAGAAGCTGGACACAGAAGGGCGGAATGCCTATACGGACCGAGCAAGTCGGAATGATGCCTCTCGTCGGCGCTTCTTCTCGTGCAACACAGCCTTCAGCTTTTCACCTACCAGAGATTGTCTTTCCGGACATCCTATCCGGGGTCGAAGATAAAAGAAACATCTGTAACGGGCTTTACAAGCATGCGGGCATCGCCATTCTCGTGTCGAGTGTTGGCGGAAAATGCCCATTGCGACTATTGCTTTATGAATCGTATGTTGTAGTGTACTTTCCAGTATTAATTATTCAGTAGATACCCTGAACCCTAAACCCTAAATTGTAGTATGGTGTGCCAAGCCTGGGAAAGGCCCGGCCGAAAGGCCGCAGAAATCGTCCGAAAACCACCGTGAACCAACGAAATCAAAGCACATTTTATTATAGTTTCTGGGATATGCGTGTGAATATATACATATATATATACACACATGTATATTGTACTTAATGTAACATGTAAATGTAGGTAGATTATATAGATAGATAGAAAGATGATACAGTGCACTATGTACCATGAGTTATCTAAGCAGTTAGAGCTCCAGAACGCGGAACAGGCAAGCCAAGCCTGCCAGCTCAGCAGCCCGTCTCCTCTTCTTTATCTCTTTTCTTTGCCTCTTCTTCTCTTTCTGCTTCTTTTTCATGTTCTTCATCTTCTTTTTCTCCTCCTTGCGCTTCCTCTTTTCCTCCGCCTTCTTCTCCTGGGTTGTACTTTAAACCCTTTGAAAGTGATTTATGAATAGGTTCCCTTTACAATAAAACAAGGGAAATTAAAACTTATCCCAAATCACAACCCAGCCTCTTTCTTGTGCACCTTGATCTTTACCAGCCGCGGCCTCTCCATCTTTGGCGTTTCTTGCTTCACTCCCACGGGTTTGGCGGCCGGCTCCGGCAGTTCCAACTTCGGCCTGTTGATGGCCTCAACTGACTTCTGAGATCCATCTATCAGGTCGCGGGATTTATATAATATAGGAGCCGTAATATTTAGAATTGGGTTTTGGGGCCCTGTATACTATAATTGTAATAAGGAACCCCCGCAATAGTATATAGGTAATTATTTGGGCCCCTATATATTGAGGGCTTATACGGCTGATGGGGCTTGTAGGGCTTATGAGTGTATGGTGTCGGGTTGATAGGTTCAAGGCCCAGGCGGTATAAGGTTCTTTTGGGGCTTACATGCATTGCTTTAGGACGCTCGGTGTGTCAGTGTTTGATTCAGTATCAGGCCGTGATGATTGGGGCAGTATTTTGCGCTGAATTATAGTGTAACTAGATGGGAACTATCAGGGGACAGTATTGCCACAATATTTAGTGAACTTTTCGACCATTACGCATGCAAAAACACTTGTGACCAAGAGCTACCAAGAAGCACCGGCGTGGTTATAGCTCTCGACGAACCTCGGTGGGTCGGAGTTCCAGGTTGCTACCGTAGAGAACAGCAATACAAAGCATGTTTTTGCCACAGCTAGAGTACGGTATGGGCACTAGCACTCGCAATACCGCATGCTAAATTGCGTGCCACTACTACCGCAGTCATTGCCATCATTCTACTTGCAACAGTTCAGCCTTCTGGAGTTTGCGGCCCCTTCGGAATGTCAGACATCCGCGCGGTGCACGCTGTGGTAATTAGTGCAGACGATGCCGATACTCGATCGTCATTCTCGCTAGGTTGCAGACAGAGAGTTGCAAACGGTTCCGCACATATGTTCTGCTTAGCGATGACATGCATTTGCACATCCAGGTTCGAGCTGGTAAGCAACTGGAGCGCACAAGCGAGGCCAACAACAGCTAACGCTAACACGACATGTTCAAGGGAGAGCATCTGCAACCACATTGTCACTGTCATGGTTCTTGTCTCAGTATTTGCTTTGCTCCACGTTGTGGGTTCTTGCCGCTTGCCTCTGAAATGCTCTCGCCACTGCCTCGAGGGATGCCCAGCTTCACCAACCTAGTACTTTAGGGGCTTTAAAATTCAGAATAAGGTTTGGGGGTATAGTATGTTAAAATGAGAATAATAAGGAGCTCCCAAAACCCTATTCTAATTATTAAGGCCCCTACATTACCGGCATCGTCATCGTCGACTTCCTCTCCGTTCTCACTATGTCCCGAAGACACTAAAGGACAACCCTCATCCTTCTTGGCTGACATCATCGCCATCAATGTTGCCATCACTATCAAGAGCTTCGGAGCCACGACAATCATCATCCACGTCGCCACGGCAACGAAACTGCGCTGCGGTCCAAGCAGCTCGACGTAGGTGCTTCTCGATTCTTCCGCTCTCGCCGCAGTCTGCACGCATGCGCAGAAGCTCACATAAGGACACGGAAGTATGCTGAAGCTGGGCTGCCGAATCCCTACCATTCCCTCTCAGTTCACCTCCGAGAAAAGCTCTTGTTCGCTGTTGAGGTGGAAGGGTCTCAAGATGGACGTGCTGCTACGATTCAACCCGAGAGATCAACTTCAAACTTCGGAAATTTGTGCGGCAAATTGCCACAGGAGATTCAGGTGTCAAGCTTTAGAGATCCGATCCTTCCAGTTGTACATGCCAGTCTGCACGAAGGCAGAGTCAAGGCTTATGTGGCTTAGTGGTCTGATGCTATATCTTTTGTCAATTGCCCAAGGGAGCCACATTTATTTTCGAGTTGCAACCTCCGCAACGAAACGCTCAACACAGCACTACAATGACCTCCTCTGCGATATTCGTAGTCATGTGGTATCGTTATGATCGTGGTGGCTGTGCTAGCAGCAGCAGCAGCACTGCTACTGATAGCAACTCCTACAACAACAACTCCTCCTCCTCCTTCCTCCTCCTTCCTCCTCTTCCTCCTACAACGACTACTGCTCCAGCAGCAGCACCGCCACCGCGACGACGACAACGACGACTCTGGCTACTCGCACTGAGCTACATCAACTACTGCTACTACGACGACGATGCTGCTGCTAGCACTAGCACTAGCACTAGCACTAGCACTAGCACTAGCACTAGCACTAGCACCAGCACCAGCACCAGCAGTAGTAGTAGTAGTAGTAGTACTACTACTACTCCTACAACTACTGCTACTGCTACTGCTACTGCTACTGCCACTGCTACTACTACTACTACTACTACTACTACTACTACTACTGCTCCTACTCCTACCCACGGCCACTACTACACCACTACTACCACTACTACTACTACTACTACTACTACTACTACTACTGCTGCTGCTGCTGCTGCTACTGCTACTGCTACTGCTACTGCTACTACTACTACTACTACTACTGCTCCTGCAGCTGCTGCTGCGCCTCCTACTACTATTACTACTACTGCTACTGCTACTGCTACTGCTACTGCTACTGCTACTGCTACTGCTACTGCTACTACTACTACTACTACTACTACTACTACTACTACTACTGCTACCACTACCACTACCACTACCACTACCACTACCACTACTACTACTACTACTGCTACTACTACTACTACTACGACTACTGGTACCACGACTGCTACTACCACTGCTACTACCACCCAAACCACCACCAGCCCGACGACGACGACAACGACGACTACTGCGACTCCTGCCACTACCACTACCCATCGCAGTGCCAGAGCCAGTACCAGTGCTACTGCGACTGCTACTGCTGCTACTGCTACTGCTGCCCAACTATTACTCTCGCAGAATATCTGCAACAAGAAAAAGACTATGTCTTTGAAGCCCTGCTCTGATGAGGACAAAAAAGGACCAAGTAGAACTGGCCAGCCTCTCTGCCCGGCTTGCAGAACTTCATCTGCTTTCCCATCGATGCCCGAAACTCCAAAAAGCCTTGGTCCTGAAGTTGGCAAACGCAGCAGGGTGATCATGTTCAGAGTCTTGTGCCGAGGATGGGGTCGGAAATATCAAGATAAATCGATGTTAAACATAGTCGCACCTCTGCAAAGTCACCGTCAAACATCGACTAGACAAGACAGAAAATCGAAAGTCGTGGCCAGGACAGCCGATCCGAAGCCCGTGCCCGTGCCTTCAACGACTTGCTAGCAATCGCATGGATCGTCTTGGCGGTGTCTGTGCCGACGCCGAACTTCTTTCTCACCGATTCCGTGCCGTCAACTTTCGAGTCAGTGACGACGTTGCCTGGAGACTCGGGAAGGGCGAATAGCATGCTGTGGGTGCTTCATGTAAGCATGAAGGTGGATAACAAAACCGGCCACCCGAGCATGACTCTTCAGATCAATCAAACTCGATACATGGATGCAGCTCTTTGGCCAAGTCACGCACTGAGGCAAACAGGGCGCCTTCATTCAGCTTCTGCTTGACCTTTCTGCGAGGATAGCGCAAACATGTCGGACCTACTGCCACAAGCAGTCAAACTGACAACGGCGGCGACCTGCAAACAACAGAAAGATGGTCATCAACAACACGAAACACCGCAATAACAGTGTGCAAATGATGTCCGACTTTGTGCACAAGTGGTACGAAGACGGCAGCTGTGCGTTTGATAAGAAGAACCTAGGACATCAACTACTACAAATTAAGTACACGCATGGAAGCCCATAAACGGGTGGAGAAGCAGCAGCAGGAGCAGCAGTAGCAGTCGCAGTAGCAGTCGCAGTAGCTAGCAGTAGCAAGCAGTAGCAGTAGCAGTAGTAGTAGCAGTAGCGGTGGTAGTAGTAGTAGTAGTAGTAGTAGTAGTAGTAGTAGTAGTAGCAGCAGCAGTAGTAGTAGCAGTAGCACAAGCAGCAGTAGCAGCAGCAGCAGCAGCAGCAGCAGCAGGAGCAGTAGCAGTAGCAGAAGCAGGAGCAGTAGGAGTAGTAGTCGGAGTCGGGGTCGTAGTCGTAGTCGTAGTAGTAGTAGTAGTCGTCGTAGTAGTCGTAGTCGTAGTCGTAGTCGTAGTCGTAGTAGTCGTAGTAGTAGTAGTAGTAGTAGTAGCAGTAGCAGGAGATGTAGTAAGAGCCCTCCTTGTCGTCGTCGTGACTCTTAGTGCCTCATGAAGAGTGCTGGGTAAGGTTAAAGGTTTTCCAAATGCAGATCCGGGAGTTTCAGAACATGCGGGACCCAAACATACACCCTAAACTATCGGATCCTTACTATGGCTCCCATTTCGGGCTCGCTCGGAGAACACTTCAAAGTCATACCACCTCGTCAGCAATCTGCCGGGCGCAATCCTGACGAACAAATCGCACCATTCAGGGTGACCCAGATTTCAATTTCTAATGTTTAGGGTTCACGATGCAGTTTTAATGTTTCAGAGTCTGGCCTCAAGGGTCTATTTTACTTGAATTAAAGGTTCCACGGGACTCAGGTCACTGGCTGTACGGCTGAGGGATTACATGTGTTTTTGCAGTAAGAGCAAGGGGAACCTAAGCACGGGAACCCTGAACCCTAAACCCCAAAATCTCAAACCCCAATTAAACAACTGTCATTCTAGTGGTCAGAACAGTTGTTAGCAATAGTACGTTCTCGCAGTCCCCGAGGTAATTCCAGTGCCTTTCAGCAGAACCCGCCTCATGAAGGCCCTTCTACTATACCCATGAGACTCTTATACAAACCCTTATATGTACCCCTATCGAACTAAACCCTAAACCCTAAACCGCAAAGGATCCTTATTCAAATCATCATCTCTGTAAAGTCTAATTGCTGGGGCCGACTTCGAAGGGTCTTCGCGCCAGGGTGAACTGCCTCAAATCTTACATGGGAGAAAATTAGGGGTACCTTACCTTGGAGTCCTTATAATACGGATCCGACTGTTTAGTGTACTATATTTGGGTCCCCTATTTTCGGAAACTCCCAAATCATAAAATCTCTAGCCCCCCAGACGCCAGCGGTAAAGCCCTAGACCCGACACCCGCATGGAAAGCTGGCGTCCTCGATGTCGGCTGCAGGTGGACGAGGCATTTCGATGCAAAGCAAAGCAAAGACGAGGTGAGATCTCCACTGGTCACATCATCGCTGTGAATGGCGAGGCGCTGGAAGCTGTGCGAAAGGGCCGCAGCAAGGCAATGCCCTTTATATTAGGTTTAGGGGATGGTGAAAACGCTGAGGGCTTTGGGGGCGAGCTCTTGCAACAAGCCAACAAGTAAGCATAGGAGACAGATGATCGCTATCGCAGCTGCTACTCTGAATGGTGCACTGTGAGATTTTTCAGATTTTCCTGGGTGCGGGAAAGCGAAGCTGCTGCTGGTAAACTCTCAAGCAGCCCTGGGCCCTGGGTCAAAGGAAAGAGCTTTGCAGCTCAAATGGCAGTCAGTAGGAACATGCACAATGCAAAGGAACGTGACCACCAGCGTGTGCCACCAGACGAAGCCTTACTTTGTCGGTTTTAAGGCTTCGGGCTCAGAGTTTGGGGTCTGCAGACTGGGGTTCAGCGTGTCTTTGCCTCTCGATCTTAGGTGTTTTGCTCTATAATCCCTAAACATCTAAGACTCCGAGGGCGACGCAGGGATTGCAAGGCGCGGGACATGTCAGCCTGGCAAAGGAGCCCAATGCAAGCGCCTGACGGCCACTGAAAGTAGGTTGGGGCTTAACAGAAGTATTGAAACAACGTCACCATCGACGTGACGTGAACAAAAGGAACTAGCTACAACCTCTAAATCATTGGATCTGAACATGCCGCCAGCTCGCGATGTGAGTTCGTAAAAGAATCGAAACAGCAGCCATGTGTCATCTGTTGGTCCGAAGACAACTCAGCAGCATGACAAAACATGCATGTTGCTGCAGCCACTGTCCTTCAGAAGCTTCAAAAGAGTTGAATTCTTAAGTATAAAGCTCTAAACTCTCAACCCTAAAACCTAAATCCTTGAACATCAAACCAGTATAGGAACCCAAACACTAAACCCCAATTCCCAAACCCTTGCAGGAACATGCCAAGAGCCCTAGACCCAGGTATGGCTGGAGGCTAGCCGTCACACATCTTTTGTCGCACATCGTCTAAGCTCGCAATAATTCTTGATCGTGCATGAGTCTGCCAATAGAGCTCGTATGTCAATGAGCTGTAGATCTTCAACTCTTTCGGTGGATGGCGACCATCGAACTGATCATGACTCAGAAATGAAGAACACATGACGTTGATGATGAAGACGGTGAAGATGCTGATGATCGAAATCACACAGTTTGTCACAATCATGTTCGTCCATCACCGCCATCAATCCAATCGTCGTTGCTGGTTTAGTTCCCCCTGGCTTTCCACTGGGAAATCGGGGTCAAGCGCACTGTTGCCCATGTCGCTTGAAAGAATCCCCCCACCGTTCGCAGGTTCTTTTCTGAATTTACACTTTCCGCGGCCTCTCTAGATGAGCTTTCACATTTGCCGGATGTTTGTGCTTCTTCTGCACTTGCACTGCCTGTAGGCATCTTTGCTTGCAAGAGTCGTCCATATTTTCGCAGTTTCGAGTGCTGGGCAACTTCCTCGCCATGCACTCGTGGGTGTGGATGTGGAAGCAGCCGACTCTGCTTGGAACCGAGGACTGTGGTAGCCTGCTCGATTGGCTCAGATGCTGAGGTGTGTGTGTGTGTGTGTGTGTGGTCTTCAACTCCACGATTATGGCCGAAGTGAAGTGCCCGTCCTGCCACCTGCTCGCCGCTTGGCTCAGTAGCTCTTTACACGCTGGACTGGCAGATGTTGCTGCTGCGGCTGGTAACGCTACAGTTTGCGGCATCCGGTCCCAAAGCATCCACAGTGACCCCGTTTGAAAACGACCCGCGTCACTTCGCTTTCCCTCTCCCAGTCTATGTGCACATTGATGCATGAGGAAGCAGGAAGGGCATGCTGTAACTACGACCATCATCGTTGCGTCGTTGTCGTTGCAACGCAAGAAGGCCATCATCTCATCCTCCTCCTAGGCCTCTTCCTCGTCCTCGTCGTCCTCCTTCTCCTCTTCCGCCTCCTCCGCCTAATCATCACCGCAGTCGTCATGTCAAGATCATACTCATAATCACCACCTTCTTCGCCTCATGGTCAACATCAATCTCTCCATCCGCTCAATCAGTTCTTGGTCCCTCTTATTCTTCAAACCCTAAACCCTAAACCCTAAACCAACCCTAAACCCTAAACCGCTGCCGGCCAGACCTCGGACTGCTCCAACGCGATTGTCCATAAACCCCGCTCATCTTGCAGACGCACCTGACGGTTTGGGATTCGAGGGCAGAGAGTCGCGCTTGGATTAGCTGCTTCAGCGGTGAAAGGCTATGTAGGACTGGAGTTTGGACGCCAGTAGCCGCAAGACATGCAATCAACAGCCAGCCTGCCCCTTCTCTTCCTGAACCGGACGTCCCATCAACTGACGTCCCAAAGCTTAGAAGCGCTTAACTCTTACACCGGAGCCATCCACCTGCTGCCGAGCATCTTTTGGCAAGAAAAATTTAGGAACTACCGCCGAATCTAGTCATCTAGTCCGGACCGTTGCTCATGATGCTATCCAACTGATGCGGCCTCCAGCTGCTTCGGAAGAGCTACATCCTCAGTTGCCGCAGAAACTAATGTCGAGGGATTCGGACCGATGGGGTTCAGGGTTGGTGCTGGGACACTATGGTCATAAAGGCTTGAACGACGATAAATGTTGTCCATACTTTTATATGTCAGTACGAACAAACAAATCAATAAATACATAACTGTGGACACATATGAGTTCACACTTATAAACACACACACACACACATGTGTATTTATGTAGAGGTATGGATTCGACCACAAGAACTTGATGTTTGGGTTGAGTGATTAGGGCTTTAGGTCTGGGGCTTGGGGTTTCAGGGTTTTGGGGTTCACTCTTACAAGGTACAATACAAAGACAGGGAACAGGGGTCGCCTCAATCCCCCGCATGCTTGCGGACACCTGCATGACACGCTCAATGCTTTTCTGCCGGTAGCAGCCTCTCGCGCCAAACAATAATGCCTTCGAGCTTTACCATAAAAAAGAAGTCGGGTTGGCTTTGTAGCCTCTAAATGCTTTGCACTTTTCACCTCAGCCCTGCGCCGGACAACCTCAACTTCTACGTCGCTATGTCCTCGGACCCTTCGCATTGCATAAAGCCTCAAAGCCAGGGGGCTTCAGGAAGAGTAGCTTTCTGCGCAGCTGCCTGCGCCGGTTCCGAAAGACTGGCTAGCGCTTTCTCGGAACGGCTTAGCGAAAAATCAGCGAGCCTGCCATCTGTCCCAGTACTTTCGCAGTCCTTATAGACCCATATCCTCGCATCCAAAGAACCGCCGCACGCTTGAGGTGTGGATCGAGCTCAGCTTTAGCCCGAGAAGCCCAAAACCGTCGTCCCCTGAGCCCGTCCCAGGGACCTCATGAAGTTGCTGCCGACTGGCCATGAAGGGAATCTGAATGTTCCTCAGCTTCTATGGTAGTTAATATAGGGGATTTTGAGAGTTCCTTATTACAAGTATAGTACGATGGGCCCCAAAGTTAGTATAGGGGATATTGAGAGTTCCTTATCATAAGTAGAGTATGATGGGCCCCAAAACCCTATTCTAACTACCAAGGTTCCTACATTGCAGTTCCTGTAAGGCTTCTAGTGGGGTTGCCTGTAAAGGTGCCGCCCTTGGCACTTCCCGGATGAGTTTTCATTTTCTTTGTAGTGTGGAATCCAAATAGCTTTGCTAGGTGGGGGAAGCCTGTTCCTCAAAGTGCAGAGGGGTTCGGTGAACCTTCAAAAAGCTTGTGCCATTGAGAACACTTGGACCTTCAAGAAGCATGACGTTTCGATCAGCACAGAAGCACACCTGCGTGTCCTGGCTCTCTTTTCCTATCATCCGCCCACACCGAAGATTTAGGGTCATTCTGGAGCTTCAGAGACCCCAAGCCGAGGAAGCGTGCACTTCGCTCTTGGGAGTACCATGGAACCTACACATCGAGTTCAGGGTTCGGTTCCGAGCACGGATCATACTCGATTCGGGGGTAGACGCCTCGAGGTCCCCAAGTCGGATCTACCCAGAGGCCCCAAAGTAGTTCCTTTCTGGGTTACCCTATGGGATTCCATATATGAACCCCAAGAAGGAACTACTTTGGGGCCTTTGGGTAGGCTAAACTCTAAATCCAAAACTCCAAGGCGGATCTGGGGTTCCATCAATTCTAAAGTCCGAGCTAAAGACCTGACCCAGGTCCAAAGGTGTCATAGAACCAAGATTGATGCTCATGTAGGGGCCCAAAATATTGACAATACATTCTTGGTGGTTCCTTATTGTCACTATAATACAAAATCTGCTCCGAAACCCTGTTGCCCCAGATTGGCGAGGGACGACATCCCCAGCGTGGAGCAGCAATGGAACCAAGCAAGGTCAAGGAGAGGCAGTCTTCGTGTTGGGAAGGCTGCCTATGACATACTAAACCAGTACACCTATATAATAACACAGCAATATCATGATATCTCGTTACATAGTATAAGTCGGGCAAAGAGACCCGGAGGTGTTGTGCTTTGAGCTTGCCCAAATAAGCAGCTGCTTGCTGTTTGACCAGCTGGCAGCGGTCGGATGCGGGCGACAATCTGTTAAATTCATAAAGTTGTTGCCCAGCTTGACGAGGACTGTCATGATCATAGCGATGCGGGTGCTGGTGGCACTGGTGGTGATAGTCTGACCGCGAAAATGGAGATTTCGACGCTGATGGCACTGATCATGCTGATGACGACGAAGACGACGCCGACGCTGACGCTCCTGATTCTTATTGTGATGATGATCATGATGAAGAAGATGATGCTTGGCCTGGAAGCTCCTAGCATGCAGCTGCTTCATCGACAGCAAGGTCAGCACCCCGGCCGCAGGCTTGCCCGTAGAGCCTTGAAACACCGAACCCGAAACCTCACAGCATTGTGGAACTGGAGTGGGCCAATCCCAGATCAATCCGGGCCGCCTGACATCAAAAACTGACGTGACTGGTATCAGCAGCAGCAATAGCACTCGGAAAGATACCATAAAGTACGTCTTCCATTCATACGTCGTAGTCTAGGGTTTAGGGTCTAGGGTTGTTTTAGGTAAACTCGACAAAGAAGGACGGATGCCCGCTGAGAGCTCCCGGCTTCCCCTTGACTCAGTGGGATCAGATCATCCACCTTCCCGTGCACCACGAGGGTGGGGGATCGGACCTAGGAAGCAAACGGAACCGGTAGGCTTTTCTTTTAGTGTAATGGCCCCTTGTGGTAGGGTTTTAGGGCTTTAGGTTTGGGTTTGAGAAGGGGTTTCGGGTTTAAGGGGGAAGTGTCGGGGCTCGGCAATGCTTGGGAGGCTTACCTCGCATAGTCTGAGGCTTCGGCAAGCTTAATTGCCTCTAAGTTCTGGAACCAGTCGTTGGGCAGGACATCTGCCAGGTTCCCAACCTGAGAAGCTGCGGCTCGAAAGCACGAAGCACGACACTGCATCTTACTCAGAGGAGGAGGTGGCCCAAGCGCTGGGCTTCCCAAATGCCTCGCGATCCTGCGTAGCAGCTCTGATTTTGCGCTCCGGCATGTCATACGCGTCCTCCGTAAGCCGTGACCCTTCTCACGGCTTGGTTTTCACAAGGAAGAGAGAACGCCGTCGGCTGCGGGTGCTAATATACCTTTTTCCCAAGCTGGAGTGGCTCTGCTGGGAATCGGATGGTTATTTCTCGTCTGCTTTGGGCGCAAACTAAAGATCCGGTTCGGCTAGAATTCGAGTTTTTGCTCAGTGGGAGTACGACAATGCAGCCCTAGCAGGAAAACTAAAGGATTTCATCGCCCTGAAGCTTCCTGATTTGGATTTCTCAGAGATCAGCCACTGCTGCGGCCATTCTTCGCAGTGCGGCACTGCTCACGGGCAAGTCCAGCGCCTCGAGCAAGGGCGAAGTTGCGAAGGCAACTGCTGCAGTTTTGCCCGGTCCTTCCAAACTCAAAGCTTGGAAGAGTGTCGTGGCAACACGGACCACGAAGCACACTTTCTCGACGCCTTCCTGCGCCTGTTCCCATGCCCTGGCACTTTGCTCCATGTGCTGATGCCAGTCGCCACCTCGGAATCGCTCAAATCCAGCGATGGCCATGGAGCCCAAAACGCTGTCAGACCTGTAGCTGTGGGTCCAAACAGCGTTTGCAGCATCCGGGTCATCACGTGCCACGCACCGAAGACTGCGTCCGCAGCAGGCAATCTCGTGGAGTAGTGGCACTTTCTGGAATCTGCCCTCACCGGCGGACTCGATGACACCTTCAGGTTCACATGCCGCAAGAACCCTTGCCTACACCTCTGGATGCTCCGCATCGCAACTAGTTATCTCCTGCAAACTTGCGAAATCCTAGTTGCTTGCGCCTGTGCCCAGGAATGTGACAGAGCTTATTCAGTGAGAAGTGCTCAGAGTGACTTTAACATCTTCTGAGCTACTCGGCAGAACACAGAGATTTGCTGTAGTGCTGCTGGCCTGTGTTCCCACTCAGCCTATTTCACCTTAGAGCGCCCAAAGCAGCTCGCGATTGGTACACGCTGTGGGTGGGCAGGAAGGAGGATCAAAATGACATAAACATAGTCACATCACTGACTTCTGGCTACCACGGCTGCCAGTAAACGAAAGATGCTGACTACATCTTTTGTACCCTGCCGGCCTCCGAGGACATCTCCACTCTCTCGACCCAGCCTTTCAGCTTCTTGCCAATTTCCTCGGCATGCCTCATGGGTAGTTGTAAGTAGGGTTACAAGTAGGGTAACTATACTTATAACCCATATAAGGGGATTTATAACCCGAATTCTAACGAGCCTGTACCCCGGAAGCCACGGCGGAGCCGATCAAGGAGGCATCGACGTACTCCGTGAATTTGGCTTTGGCGCCCCCCAAGTCTCCTTCGGGGAAGGCAGAAACATGGGGGTTTCCACAAATAGGGGACCCGAATTATAGTACCCCAAATAGTAGGATCCTTATTATAAGGACCCCGAGATAAGGTACCCCTAATTTTCGGAAGCTCCCACATGCAGTCTGCGGGAACGAGGGCAGACCCCCCGGCTCTACGACTCTACATGGGGGTTTCCGAAATAGGGGACCCTAATATGGTACCCTAAATAGTAGGATCCTTATTTTTAGGGCCCCAAAATAGGGTACCCCTAGTTTTCGGAAACTCCCACATTGTCTACTGTCTGCAGTCGTTCTCCTCCGATGGCCAACTGTGCGCCGTGCAAGGCCGTGCGCAGCTCATGGATACCAGGCAGCTTCTTCCACATCGCTACCCGCGGGAACGATTCAGCGAGTGGATCGATTTGTGCCAGCTTTGCTTCGGACTACCTTCTACACATGCAGCTCGCCAACCCTCTGAGCGCAGCCCTGCTTGATGCTTCAGGCTTGACCCATGTACTGAACTCAAACCGAAAACCTCCGTCTTGAACCCTAAACCGCAAGAACCCCCAAGCCCCACGATCTCTGAGATTAATCGAAGATTCAAGCTGTGCTTCTGGCACGGCTTCGGAAAACCTCCTTCACGCTGGTAAATGGCGTGATCAGGACGAGCCCGGCTACGCGGTGCCTGTGGCACAAGCTGGTTTAGGGTGTGAATCTTTAAGAGTGTAGGTTGAGAGCTTGGGGGTGTAAGCTTAGTAAACTTTGAGTTGTTGGGGGTGTGAGGCTTGAGTAGATTTCGGGAGCATGGAGACGGTTCGATCATGTCCAGAGACTGCAACACTCCCAGCAGAGGATAAGATACAAGGGTCACTTGAGGCAGCGAGGGTCAAGCTGCACATGGCTCAAGTTGAAGACGATAAAGGCTGAAGGTCTTCAAAATGCTTGCACTCGGATACTGAAGGCTCCCATCTCCGAAGCCGAGCACCAGCACGCGGCATACTTTTAGAACAGACTCTGGAGCACATAAGTTTATCTCCAGTCCTCTCTGGATATGTTGGAGCTTCTGGCCATCGCGGCATGTTCCAGAGCTGGTTCAAGCAGCAGCACATCTGAGAATTTCCCAAGCCACCCGCCAACTTCGAACGCGGGACCAGCTGTCAGCAAGAACTGGCCCCATAGATTCTCCGAGGTCATTTCTACGACTTTTACTACAATTTACGACTCCACCTCCTCCTGCTCGTCCTCCTCTTCCTAGTACGACGACGACGACGACGACGACGACGACTACTACTACTACTACTACTACTACTACTACTACTACTGACCACTTTATTTCTATCACTACTTGTTGCTTATTCATATTATTATCGCAGGGCTGCCTGGCCGCAAGATCGATGGCCGGGCCGGTCCCTAAACTGCGGCCGAAGACCTGGAGCGGTCGGCTTGGGAGTGTTTCGTTTTAGCCAGAGGGCCCAAAGTAGTTCCTTTTTGGGGTCACCCTGTGGGATTCTAAATATGAACCCCAAAAAGGAACTACTTTGGGGCCTTTGGGTAGCCTACGTGTCGGGTATCATGGGGAACTAAAGGTTAACCTTTTTGGTTATATAGGGATTCTATGGGAAACAAGGTTAAAGGTCCCCTGCTCTACTACTAGGTTAGGGGTTCCGTATTGGTTTTTCTTTTAACGTGCAATGACTCTTTCTCCAAAGCTCCCAGCAAAGCCTTCCGTAGTGGCTTAGGGCTGAGGGTTTAAGCTTGAGGGTTCAGGGTTTGGGCGTCTTTACGCTTCCAGGGTTTAGTTTCTATAGTTTGTAGGGTTCAGGTTAGCGCCGAAACTCAGGACTTCGGCTGGTGATGGCTGGTATAAATGCCCTCGCCTTTCCCTCAACCGGGCATATGGCTGAATCATAGACTCATAGACTTGTGAGGAATCGCAGACGGCAAAACTTAGGCTTGGTTTGTCTGTCTGCGCCTGTCATGCACATGTTCACGCCTCTGGATCGTGCATGTGCACTGTGTCACGTCAGTCTTGTGCATAACTTCTCCAAGAACGTGCAATACACGGGCAACACAATCAGGAATGGCTCGATCGATTGGCAAAACGTTCGATGAATACACAGAGCACGGCAAATAGAGAGTGGGAGTGAGCTAACAACATGTACCGTTGTGCACATCATGATTTTCACAATGATCACCCTGATGATGATCAGCGAAGTAGCACCAGTGGCAGCGAGCATGATACCAATCATTCAGTCATTAACTGCACTGTTGATGAACGAATGCAATCAGAATCAATCTAGCAGAAATAAAAGTTACAGCCAGAGATACAAGCACCAATGATGGCACTATGCCATATGATAGCACCAGTCACTATGATAACGCTGGCATGTAATCACAACCTAAATATGTGGCACGATAGCAAAGGCGGAGACGCTTATACCATGCGCATTAATTAAAGAGGTATCCCGAGCCCGGCACGAGAATCCGGTCCAGCGATATGTTGAGGGTCTCAGGGCGCAGCTCCAGGGTGTTTTCTTGCTGGGAGATTTGAGGTTGTCGTTGCTGTTCTTCTTCCTATTCTTACGATTAATATTCGTAGTATTGCTACTATTAACTATTCTTGCAAGATGTCATTGCTATTTTTATATGGCTATTGTTCGTATGGTCATTGTGGTAGGTTAGGTTAAGCTCCTGAAGACGAGCCTGGGTTTGCAGAGTGTTGGGGAGTGCGGCAGCGAGGTTTCGATGCTTTCACGGAGGGCTTTGTAGCGAAAGGGTCGGCTTTGGCGTAGGGGCCTCGAGGGCAGAACCCTTTCATGTGAACCCCACATCTCGAGCTGCGAGGGGGCAACCGGGAAGTGCCCAGCTTATGCTTTTAGAGTTTAGGGGTTTAGGTTTAGGGTTGAGGGTTTGTAGGGTTTGTCTTGCATCAATTATGACTGTTGCTACCACTGCCTCTGCCACTACCACCACTAGCACTTGCACTGGCACCAGTCACCGACACTTGAGCCAGCACCACCACGCCTGCTACTGCTGCTGGTACGAATACTACGATGTATGCTCGGCTTGTTCCCGTACAGCAATGCTTCATGTTATGGCTATCGATACCTACCCCTTTCGTTTATGCAGTATACCGATTCTGCTCTACGTATGAATCCTACTCTTGATTGAATCATGATGATGACTGTGCCAGTGACAGCCGCTACCAACATGACGGTAACCACGACATACACCCAACAGATCTCGACTGGCAATAGCATTGGTAATCTTAGGATAACTGATGTAACAACTGTCACCGCATCCGGTTCAAGACGTTTGCCTACCCAGGTCTGCAGCCTTGGTAGCAAATTGAAGAGCTGCATGCGCATTGGCGATGACACCCTGGCTCACGGTCGGCTCGAGACGAAAGGTCGCAGTTGCAGGGAAAGGATCGACGCCCCAAACTCGAGTCAGAGATCAACGAATGACGGTTCGCCCTTGTTTTTGCATGTCCTTTTGCATCCGCCATCATCCGCATTAATGCTCGGAATCCCAAAGACTCCGAAACAGCCTGTGGGCAGGAGCCTCTCTGCGCTGATAGTCGGTAAGCGACACAACCAATATGGGAGCTTCCGAAAATTAGGGGTACCATATTTTGGGATTCTTGTAATAAGGATCCTACTGTTCAGGGTGCTATATTAGGATCCCCCATTTTTGGAAACTCCCATATCCCTCCAAGTCTGCTCACAGTTGAGGCACGCCCGGCCTCGGGGGTCGTCTTTCCAGGACACACCTGAAGGCAAAACACGCTGGAAGATCTGGGTGGTTCTCAAAATGAGGTCCTTTTTGGGTCCCTAGTATAATACGGCACCTATAATTTAGGGTACCCCAAAAGGGGCCCTAATTTTGACAACCACCCATCTCGCTGTGAGCCTTCGTTTTGGGCTTCGGCTTACGGATTTTGGGAGGGTTTTGTTGAAGGTTCGAGAGGGTTCAGATCGGAGGTTTCAGGCTTAGGGGTCCCTTAATAATTAGAATAGGGTTATGGGCCCCTTATGCTATACTATATATATATATATATATATATATATATAATGTATATGTATATGTATATACATACCTCCACAATAGTGTTGGGTTGAGGAACTTCCGGGCTTCCAAAGGCTCCAGAATGGCCGCTGTACTCGCCGGTCGCTGGGTGCCTGCCTCTGGAGTGGTCAGGACCACCGGCATGCTTCGGATTCTTGAAGCTCAAACCCTACCTGGACCCCCCAAATAACCTACCTTTTTAAGGACTCATATAATTAAGGAGCCCTAAACAAAGGAGGTTCCTTAGGGTCCAGGTAGGGATCAACATAGCCCAGAAGCCTTATATAGCATGGTCCTTGGGCCCAAAAGCCTTAATATATGAGTCCTTAGATCCCTAGGGAGAGTTTGGTGCTTTCTTTGGGGGCCGTAGTGAGGTGCTGCTGTCTAGGGCCTTCCAGGCAGCGAGCCCGTACAGCACGTCAGAGTTCCACTGCAGGAGCCGTGAAGAACATAAGAAGGTGGCTTGCCGTAAGCTGCCAACTTGCCTCTGAACTTCAGCATTGGTGTGACAGCTATACAGCTGACAAGTGTGTCTTCCCGTTCTCTTCTCCTCCTCGTTAAGTACTTCTTCTCAGCTGTCAGATCACGTGTCAGTACCACATCTGCATTTTCCTACTACTCACACCAAGCCAAGCCCTGCATCTTCAACCCGGACGCCCTGGCAAAGCTCCCAGCAAAAGCAGCACCTGAAATTTAGGCCCTGAATCCCATCGTGTTACCTGTAAGCCCCGAGCACCATAGCCAGGGTATTCCACAGCCAGGACGTGCACCTTCCGTTGAATAAGGGCTTAGGATCTATAGCCTACAGTAGATTAAGCTATGCGCTCAGATCCAAGTCCAGCCATTCAAGATTCCTTGACGCGAAGCTTGGTGAGCGTGGAGAGATATGACCGGATGGTCGTTACTTTCTCGTGACTCCCTGGCAGCGAGCTGTTGACCACGATGACATGATGACGGTTCTGACCACGATGATGGTCTTTGCGTGCTACATTGGCGTGTGCTTGTGTCGTCAGTTTGCATGGGATGACAGTAGCGTAAATAACAAAGAGAGCCTCCAGAGACCTGCACCTATCTGCGAACTTTGCAAACCCGAACCCGAATGCTGAATGGCAGTCGACAGCAGCAACAGCAAGCCGGAAACGGCACTGATGAGAGAAGCAGATTGCGCCTGAAATTGCTCGTGCAGGAAATCAGCAAACCAGCGGCAAACTCCGAGGTCCTGTCGTAGGTTTGATTGACTGTCCACAACATCTCTCAGCTTAACAGGGACCACTTTGAAGAGATCGGATCGGAACCACAAGAAGAATGTAAGTTTGCACGCCTGGTTACCCGGTTTTTCCTGATTGCTCACATTCTCTCACGCCCTGGTTCAAGCCGCTGAGTTACAAGGCCACGACGGGCTGAAAGCGCGTAAGCCCGGTCACGGTACCTTGCATGCAACTGACCTGTCCAAAGGAAGCACCGGCACAGCCCAGCCCGGGAGAGCCAAATCCCACGCATCCAGAACGGACGCTACAATGGCCTCCGCGTTGCTGTGGAAGTAGATGATGAGAAAGTGAGAAGACCTGAAAGCTTGGGAACGCCAAACCCTAACCTCGGAACCTGCGGCAATAGCACTCATGGGAGTTGCAGAAGGGAGGGGACCTGGCTCTTTATAGGATCCTAACTTGTAGGACCCATGAGCTCACCTATATATCAAGAATTTTCCGCAAAACTAATCATCACCATAGCATGCGGGACCTTTTTCGACTTAAACAGCTGGATCTACATCTGGGGCGAGTACTGCCGAGATTGAGCATCTCAAACGAAGCAGCCCTAAAAACTGCGGGCCGTCCGCCTTCGTCAGAGGAGAAGAGGCGCAGAAATCCGAGAGACACAGGCAATTCCTGTTATCGCTCCCTGTCCGGAGAGCTCTTTTCCCACCTCTTGTCCCTTCGAAACTACATCCTGAAGCGTCTTAACATACTTCCTGTAGTAGATCAGCATAGTGGCTGCAGTGGTACTCTTGCTCAGACACATTGTCAACCAGAGTGGCGCCAGCATTGCCACGATGAGTGTCAGCATCATAATAACATAATGACAATAATTGGTGTCAACAACGACATCATCATCATCATCATCATCATCATCACCATCATCGTCAGCGTGCTGTGGACAATCAAGTGGCACTGCTCTGAGTCGAGACCTCCTCACTACCGCTGCCAGACTGGAATGGCAGATGTAATAGTGCTGTACGAGCGAGGACCGATAAGCATGTCTTGGTGATAACTGCAGTACAAACGCCCAGCAGAGTGACAGCAGGAGTCTTCTCACAATTACTGGGGGCGGCAACATCAAGGACCACAGGAGACATGAACTAGGCGGTAAAAAATATGCAGAGGCCGGTGCGCATGCAGAACTTGCAAGGACGAATCAAAGGGCGATTCTACTATTATGTAATGGTCACAAATCCAGATGAAAGAAAGACTAGTCATACACGGGTCCTGACTCCAAACAGAAACATCACCTAGCGAAGGAACCGCACGAGCAGTAACGACAGTCGCAACGTCGTCATCGTCGTTGCGGTGGTGGTGGTGGTGGTGGTGGTGGTGGTGGTGGTGGTGGTGGTGGTGGTGGTGGTGGTGGTGGTGTGGGGCGGGGCGGGGCGGGGCGGGGCGGGGCGGGGCGGGGCGGAGGGGAGGGGAGGGGAGTGGAGTGGAGTGGAGTGGAGTGGAGGGGAGGGGAGGGGAGCGGAGCGGAGGGGAGGGGAGCGGAGTAGAGTAGAGTAGAGTAGAGTAGTAGTAGGAGCACGAGGAGGAGGAGCAGGAGGAGGAGGAGGAGGAGCAGTAGCAAACAGTATCAGTGGCAGTAGCAGCAGCAGAGGCAGTGGCAGTGGCAGTGGCAGTGGCAGTCGCAGTATGTAGGGTATGGGTCAGTCCTATCAATGCTGCTTACTGGCATGGGAAAAAAAGCAGCCATAGCTCAGTGCAACGAAACAACAACAGGAGTGTAAATCAATAGCAAGGCACGCAACAATGGGAACAAGCGGCAAGAAGCCGACAAGCTTAAACTGATCGAAACTTCTGTTAGCTGGGAAGAGCTCTCATTGCCTGGACGTACTGCGACGCCGGGCTTGTGACATCGGGCTTCAGCGGCTTCACAAAAATTGCCAGGCTTCGTCAGAATCATAACGATCCCCCAACCTCTGATCTGTAAGCCTGGTCCCAAATCCCGATGGCCCAAGCCGAAAGATGTTGTTGGTCCACTCTCGGACCCCAAAGATATATGGTTTTTACACCTCCGGATAGCTCCAGCCCTCTAGGCGACAGGGCCTGAGGCTGAAGTCGGGAGAGAAAAGCCAAGAGTCTCACGAATCTGAAGAGTTCTCCTTTCGTGCCTCTTAAGTTGCTTCCGGGGCTGCTGAGACTCTTCCCAAGACTAGCTGGCCCTGAAACACTAACCAGACAATCGTGCATCAAGATGCCCAGATCTAGATCCAGCCACGATGGACTCCATCAGTTTCGCTTTGGCCCTCGGAGAGTGCAATAGGTATCGAAGTGCTTCGGAGAGTGAGAGGCAGTTTGCCTTCTGCCTTCTCCACAATTTATGATAACTGGCGATCATGCCTCTCCGGCTCCAGGAGAATCATGTAAAGCCGCAGCCTCTCTGCGAGGGCGTGCGGCAGAAATGCTAAGAGGATAATTTTTGAGTGGTGAAACTGCCATCATGTGACTAGAGGGGCCCTGCACGGACTCTCTCTTTCTAGACATGTTGGACCCACAACAGGTGAGCCACTTGTCCTTGCCTTGAAAAATCCTCCAATTGCTTGCATGGGGCCTTTTCCCAAGAAGTTCAACCGGGCTGAGGTAGGCTATGAGCTCTTCTGTAGCCTCTGTCTGCGGCACTCCAACAGTAGACTTCAAGTCCTATGCGCCATAGTCAAAGGCACCATGCAGAACAGCAGCATGGTTTCCCGTCAAAGGTTCCTATCCGACCCTGGGGTGCCATGCCTAGTACGCTTGAAAGGAGACTCTGCGAGTCACCCAAGGCCAACGAGGCTGTTTTTTGGTCCGCCTCATTGTAGCGTCCGTTCACAGCAAAGAAGAGCATGCCGTTGTCAGACTCAATGCACACTTTCGCAGAGTTGCTTTACTTGTCTTTACATGGTGGGGGCAGTGCCACTGTCCGGGCTCTGGAAAGGACTGTGCGACAAGCAGGCTCTACCGTTCGACAACTTGCCCGTGGGGCATCTTGTAGCCCCTTGCACCGAATGGACGAAATGAGTGCGGATTACAATCAGCAACGAGGGGTGTATAGCTTATAGCCTAGAGGGACACGTTGACTGTTCCCTGGCTGCCCTGATCTCTGTCGTCTTCACGGGAGTGGCTGTCCTCGGATGTCGGGAAGCTACAACGCCTGCTGCTTCCCCATTTGCTGTAGGAAGGAATCGAAGCGGGTACGTCAATCGGGATAGGCTCAATGATGGCCGGCATCACTGTTCATTGCGAGCTTTACCATTGGATCCATGCTGTTCTTTCTGTCATCAGGAATACTATTCTACATACTGTTGCCCAATTGCCATTGCTTGTATACAATTGCCGGCTGTCTTGCAATATGCCTGTCAGTCCATGTCGTCGTCCTGGAGGCAAGAACCCTCCGCCCGTCACCGGTGTCGTCGTCCAAAACCGTCGGGTCAAACGTGAATTCAGGGTTTTCCAATGGTAGCACTGCGCCTAAGAATGAACTCGCCTGCACTACACGGACACAAACTAGGGTTCAGGGGTCAGAACCCACTGCAGTGCGGGACGACGGTGTTGTTGCTTCCCTGTGAAGGGCCAAGACTCGTGAATCTCGTGCCGCTGTGCCGCAATGTGTGCCTCGAAGGCCTGCCGACAGAAGCAGAAGCATGTACGGATCAGGCTTCGGTCACAAACTGCAGTCTTGAATTCAAGCGCCGAGTGTGAGGACTGAAAGATGAAACCCTAAACCTTCTAAAGCCAAAACTGACGGAATGTCCGTCTTCTTGATCTTTGTGCTTCTGTCTCCCTCTCGCTCGCCAGCTCTCTCTCGCTCTCTCTCTGCCCCCCACCTGCCTCACATTTTCGGCTAGTGGGAGTTTCCGAAAACAGGGGTACCTCATTTTGGGGGTCCTTATACTTATAATAAGGATCCTACTATTTAGGGTACTATATTAGGGTCCCTATTTTCGGAAACTCCCTAGTTGCCGCAGCTGACAAAGAACATCCCTCTAGACTGACAATCTACAGCCTGAGCCCTAAGCCCCAATGCAAGGCTCGAAGAAACCCAGTCACGCATACTCCCTACATCCGAAGCCCTAAGCCCATGTGCATAGTGCAAGACATCTTAATGCAAGACGAGATGACCATTGGGAGCAGGCCTTCGGATCCTTTTCTATAGTGTGCAAGAACTTGTTGAGCTTCCGTAGATGCCGGTCGTGAAGTTTCCGTTCCTCTGTGAAACTCAGCTTAGCAGCTAACTGAGTAGTTTCGACAACAATGGAAGGTAACTTGCAGGTACCTGCGCGCGCATGCATGTTTGTAGTTATGTTCGTATGCATGCGAGCATATGTGTGAGTATGTATGCATACGTAGGTGAGTAATTACTTGTTTGTGCGTGCGTGTATACATGTATGCACATATTATATGTATATGTCTATGCGTATGTACTTGCATGTGCGCATGTATGTATGCATGCATGTATGTAGGCGTCGGGTACGTAGGAATGTATTATGTGTGTGTGTGTGCGCATGTTCATGCGTGTGTATGTATGTGTGTCCGTGTGTGTATGCATGTACGTATTTATGTACAGTCGTGTACGGGTATGTACATGTCACTGCCTGCATGCATGCGCGGATGTATGTATGTATGAATGTATGTATGGCTTCGGAATAGTAAGACCCGAAATTTGCGGTGCTGGTATGCCAACGGATATCTAACGTGAGTACTGGATCGGAATTTTCGAAATTCCGTGCTGTACACCTACAACCCTAAGTTAACACAAGCAGGAAACCACCTGCTGACACTTTTGCCCTGCAACCCTCTTGACCACCAGAACCAAAGTCTAGCGTGACGACCCGCATGAAACCCGTAGTTTTGTGTGCTGTCAAAGGGCCATATGCAACTACCGGTAGCCCTGCTTCCCACACTTCCTATCGTCCTGACAAACCGCCCGCTTCACAATAGGCAAGGCAAGTCGCCGGCTGCACTAGCTCGCCATCCTCGACAAACGGCGTGGAGATCCGAGCATCGGGAGAGTTGATGTTCTAACTTGCGAGTGGAGGGGCGGTTTGGCTTAGAGTCTAGGATCTCAACCTTGTGAACGCGATGCCTTGCTATTCATAAGAGACTTGCGAAATGTTGAGAATTCATCCTGTGCAGACTGGCTAATGTCACATTCCTGTACCTCAGCTACACAGCTTTCAACATGCATGAACATCGAGGTAGAAGTACCACTTTGTGTGTCAAACTTGATTGATTGAGCAGGTTTCTCTAAACCCAGTCCTCCGTGCAAAGGTTATCCCACGAGGATGTCGCATGGATGGCCTCACTCTTCTTGTCTTTGATGGCGCTTTTGGCACGTTCTTTGGCGACGAGTTCCTTGGGAAGAGTCGCCCAGGCATGGCCGAACTCCTGCGGCGGTGGGCCTTCGAACGCCTTTGTGCTGGAGCAGCCCATAGCGAGCTAACGGGCTCCGCCCTATCCTAGCTACCATGTCGTGACTATGAGTCACTTCGAGCCAAAGCATGCAAATGTGAGGCTCATTCTCTTCAGCGACTTGTGGATTCGCAGCGCTACACGAACCACACGGCGGCACGATTGCTGGACATTTCAAGACCTGAGCCTCCAAAGGAAACCCTCTTAGTGGTTACCTTCTCATTGCTGCCTTCTTGGCATTATCCAAAGCATTAACAAGCCTGTTTTGGTATAAGCCTGACGATCCTCGATAGCAACTTTGTCGTCACTACCGTCGCGTCCCATGCCATGCACACATATACTTCGGTCATAAGCGCCGCAGTAGCAGGTTCAAGGAGTGGGGTCATACGGCTCCGGCAGTAGCCATCCAGGAAAGCCATGATTGGAAAGGATGTCCGAGAAGCTCCCAAAAACTCCATGTAGCACTCTGCAGGGCCGCAGAATCTGTGCGTCACATGCTCCAGATTGAACCGGTTGAACAACAGAGCGAGAGCCAGAGAGAGAGAGAGAGAGAGAGAGAGAGAGAGAGAGCGAAAGCAAGATGTGCTTGTCGGGGGCCGCGCTCGAACATCTTGAACAAGCACGGAACCATCTGGCACGGGAGTGTCTACTACATGCTGTTGGCACTGACGAGGGCACAAAGATGTGTCACGACAGCCACGGACATCCAGAGACCATGCGCAGTTCATGTGTGGAGACCGTCGCCTATAGCATGGCTGGTGTAGAGAAGGCTTCAGGAACAGCAGATTGCATTGCAGAATCCCCGCAGTACGCACTAAACCCTGAACGAACGAAACGAGGTTTTGTGCTCAAGCAGGGTGGCAAGGTTAGCTCATAGCTGGCAGTTATCGCCTGAACTATCGCTTGAGGGGATACTGGGAGTTGGAACTATCGCTTGAGGGGACGCTGCCGTCGGGGGAGTTCTGGCAAAGGGCTTGCAGCCGGAGTTTTGATTCAGGCAAGCGGCCGGACTCTGGAACAATGAGACCGGAATGAGGGAACCAAGGTACAATACATTGCCAGAAGAATTTCGAAGAGTGTCTGAGGTGTAGTGACTCGAAAAAAGTTCGGGGTTCCCAACGTAGCATCTGGTGGAGTCATGATCTCAGACATGCTGCAGAAGCGCCCTTCCTTATATCCGCCATGCCGCTATAACATCCACCCTAAGCCTAGACCCCAAAACTCCTACATGGGACTTCTTGGCCTCAGGAGGCTTGCGATCAAATCCCGGACCATCCCGGACCCACGTCCCAATCTCTCTGGATCGGCCCTGAACACCAAAACTCTCAGACCCGCAGCGGGAGCTCTTTACCGAAATCCAGAGGACATCCCCTCAATTTGTCAAACCCTCCTGCAACTGCACACCCCGCAACGCTGAGCCCTTAACCCCTACACCCCTATATGTAAACCCTAAACCCTAAAACCCTAAACCCCTAAATCCTAAACCCCTAAACTCTAAACCCTAACCCCTAAGCCCCTAACCCCTAAACCCTAAAAAGGCGGAACCGAAAGATGTTTCGGGCCTGTGCTCCGGGCTCGGGCTTCTCGGTCGCATCTGGGGAGCCGCACCGTTTTCTTTTGATGGTTTCCCGTAATTCGGGTTATGGTTGCAGGGCATACATACATACATAAATGTCAGTATGTGCATATATACATATATGTATATACATGACTAGATATGAAACTGAATATCACTACATGAATGCAAAATACATTCTGTGTGTATATATGTCTTTCTATATATATATATATATATATATATATTCATATTATACTAATTTGTTAGTATATACATATACATACACATACACACACATTATATATACACACACCCACATACATATACACACACACACACATTCAAGTTGAGGGCTTATAGTATATCCGAGGTATATGCATGTATATATGCTGGGTACTAGGACTCAAGGTTCGAGGCTTCAAGGGTTTAGGTTTGGGGGGCGTTAGCCTAGGTAACGTGTCTCGACAAAAGGCTGACACCTTGTACTGCAATGCGATGAAGTCATGCCAGTGGGACTGCTGTTTGTCCTCAGTATCATGCTCCTTCCACCTCCCGACCGGGTCTACATTCCCAACCAAACGGTGCACTGTGAACCACACACCGCATACTCGGCTGTATGGCTATACCATGCGACATAACCCTGAACTCCTTGCCCAATATCTTCCACCACACAGGGAAGCTGTGCGTTTGCGCCTCCCGCCTAAGGAGTCTAGGGTTTGGGGGGAAGCGCCCAGGCGCGGCGCCTCCATCGTGCAGACGTCGAGGTATCCAGATCAACTCGCCTGCGCATTTATGCACATACCAGCGACTTCGCCAAGCAGCGGAAATCCCAGACTCAGGCTCAGTGTTACAAGGGAGTCCTACACGCTGAAATCATGCAGTCGAGCTGGGTCGCAGCCTGGAAAGCTGTGGATGCTGTACGTCCTTGGCAGTATCTTCGGGGAATGATACAAGTTCCTAAACCCTAAACCCTAAACCGTGATACAAGTAGATCAAGGTCACTCGAAATCAGTCTTTCTGATGGATTCCGTTTCATGATCCGAGCAGGGTTCTGGGGTATGTTGTACCCTAGGAATGCTCAGTGCCGAGTCCAATTACAGAGCATCCAACAAGCAAAAGGGTCGAAGAGACCTGTGCATTCGCTAGGAGAAAAGGGTCAGACTTTGGGCGTAGGGCTTAGGGTCTAAAAGCTAGGGTTGATGGTTGGGGGCTGTTGGCTTGGGGCTTGGGGTTTGGGGTTCAGCGGTTAGGGCTTGGGGTCCAGGGTTTCGAAGGATTTGCTATGCTGGGGACGAAATTGGCAGCGCAGCCCCAGCACAGATCTGGGTTGCATGCGGGGAAGGACTCGGAAACAGGAAGAAGTCCAGAATCCTGGGCCAATGAAGAGACCAGCAGCTGGCTTTAGGGTTTAGGGTTTAGGGTTTATTATTTATTGGGTTTTAGGGTTTAGGGTTTAGGGTTGAAAGTAGAAGGACCCGAGAAGCGCTCTAGAATCCTCAAGGATCCTCCACGACTTTGAAAGGCTCTACGGCAACCCAGCGATTCCTCAAACCCCGTGATGCTTCTCTGTCGGACTAGGCTCAAGCTGCCCGATGTGAAGCCTAAATGGTAGGATGTTGTCGATGAGGACCCCAAACCCCAAACTAAGGTTCCCCGAATATCACGAGATCACACTGTTGCAAAGTTGCGTCGGTAGCCGCTTCCGAGTTTCCACTTGTGACATGCCGTGACATACCGCTTTTGGTCGGCTTAGAGCTTGGTTAGAATTTAACCTTGAATCCTGAAAACCCCTATATAAACCCCAAACCAAAAACCAGGCAGCCCGGCTTGTGTGGCACCGGCGCAGGCGAGGGCATCCGCCAAAGTAGGCGCTGCGTGCATGAGCCCTCCCCCGCCTGCCTAACCCAAAGCCGTACTATAAGCGTGTCTGTAAGGCTACTGTACGCGCACTATAGGGGTTCTGTAAAGGCACTATGCAGGTTCTGCATTATAAGGGTATTGTAAGGGTTCCATACGGGTTAAATCCTCAACCAGGATAGGGGCGGGTTTGACCCGTAGTGTGCAGAGTGGGCGAGTAGCTTCTACAGATCTAGAGTTAACATGTCGGGTGGATTCTCGAGTATGGGAGTTTACAAAAAATGAAACCCTCATATAGAACTCTAAACAATAGAACCTTTGCTGTCGTACATATGCCGTATGGTTGGCAGGCCGGAGTCACTACGTCACAACCATGTAATTCCTTCGGAATTAGACTTGGGTGAATATAGACGTTGGTAAGGGTTCTAAACGTAGAGGGGTCTCAATAACCACGTTGCACGCGCCTTTCGCAGCTGGTAAGGTTGCTTGCCCGCAAGCTTGAACACGGGTCATGCACGACTGGAAGCAAGAGCCCATACTGACACCTAACCCACGAAACCGCAGGGAACAGTACCTATAGTGCAGCTACCTAGTGTTCGTACTTCGTACGTGGGACGTTGTGGCCAATGAACATAGTAGTGTGCAAGGACGTTGTGGCCCATGAACATAGTGGTGTGCAACTTTAGTCTGTACAGAAAACAGACGAACATGTAGGCAAAAATAACAAGGCACAATGAGGAGCACGTAAGACGTAAGCACCGTTGTACAATGGCATTGTAACTACGACACGACAGTTTGCAGACATCTTTCTATCCATCTACCGATCGAGCGAACCATGCATCTATCTGTTTATCTATCTATCCATCTCCGCATCTATCCATCTATCTGTCTGTCTACCTGTGTACCTATGTATCTATCTATCTACCTGTCTATGTAGCTATCTTCTGTCTGCTTGCATCAGCATGCACTACGACAACACAATAATTAGAAGGAGCTACACAGCGTCAAACAACATAAGCAAGTAAACACACACACACACACATATATATATACAAACATTTGTGTGTGTGTATATATATATATAGATATATACACACGAGCAGACATGCCTGCATACGTACGGACATGCATACATACAGACAGACATACATTTATGGGTATATATATATGTGTACACATACATACATATATATATATATACATACATAGAGATGTATATAGAACTAAACACATATGTATGCATACATTTATCTATATAGGTATGTGCATATGTCTTCATAGGCTTATACATGCATACATGGGTACGCGGAGGGAGACAAATGCAGCAAGACATAGCAGCTTACGGTAATGTGTCACATAATGAAACATTGAACTGAACATCGACAATGTTATGGAGCAGTAATGACCACTGTCGTAGTACTCTCCCCCTCCCCCGCCAGACGTACTACCAGAGCATGTAGTAATCCAAGGCTTTTCTCATGCCGTCTGTGCCATATAACAACTTGTACTTTTCGGACGCCCGTATCTTACGCAAGCATGTGATCTGCCTAGACGCAGCGTAGGTCAAACTGGATACTGTTCTCGACCCAGCTGGCAGCGCACGAAC